TTGTAGGTACGGCAGTTAACTACGGGATAGAGGGGGAGGGAAGCGGGGATAAGATGGGTGGGTAGCCTACAGTAGGTACGGAGGGAAGGGGAGAAGGAGGGAAAGCTGGAACGTCGTCACCTATCACGGCACACACGCACACGATAACCTGGTAAACAAACAGTGAGTCAGTGTGCCTCCACCAGATAAGACCGACCACGTGCTTCACCATACCATTATCTTCTCCCCACAGGCTTCACCTACTCAATACCTTCTCACACCCAGAGCGCCTTATCTGCCATCGGGATCTTTGGCTCACGACTAAACTACGATCCCCTCCTAATGTAATCCAGGGAAGATACTTATTATACACCAAATCCCAATCAGTTTATACGCACGTTTGTTTAAATACATCACCAAGTGTTTCAATTTATGTACAGAAGCAACTATTACAAAAGGGTTAGTAATGTATGTAACAGCAAATGGGCAGAAACACAACTTGTAATTTCTCGTGTTTTCACCTCGACCATCTAAGATTTCGACGCATCGTTCCTAAACTCAAACCCAACCAAGCTTTCGAGTGTATCAAGATAGTGTATGGGGAAAATATTTATCTTTATGTGTATGCAAACCTTTCGACGGTGACTTGAGTGGGGCAGTCCTACAGTAATGCCATCGACGACTATGGCGCCAGGAGTGACCATAATAAAGTGCGAGCGCTGTCAGAAATGTTAACTACCCACCCACCCGGCACCCACCATCCCCCTCCACTCATATTCAAGTGCTGGATGAAACTAATTGAACGTGAGACTGCTGGCTTCATATCCCAGCTTGTTCCTCCTAGACAAGTTTTTATTTGAACTTGAGATTAACTTAGTCATCCCTATAACAATTCTAACCGGCTATACTACGTGGTGTAGCTATGCGTTCTGTCGAGCTAAGAGAGAACTCATAAAACGCCAAATAAAAGGATTCAATCATACCTGAGGCTTACCGTACTGTATTTGAGGGGACAAAGGTGAGGCGGCGCTTACAGATTATGACTACTTGTTCAATATATTAGTTGAATTGGCGGTGGGAGAGAGAGAATGCATTTAACTTCAGAGAGAGAGAGAGAGACTTCAGTGTATGTAAGAAAGCCTACACTGTGCCTGCCTGGGTCTGGTTGGTTAATGCGTGCGCCCTTGACTTACGGTCCCAGGCAAGTGTGTGTGTGTGTGTGTGTGTGTGTGTGTGTGACCCGCCAAACTCACCTCTGTGAGCACCACACGCTTACCTAAGACCCTTCCTCACACCTCACAATATCCAAAGGCCCTCCCTCACACCACACAGTGTCCCCGTACCCTCCTCCCTCACACCCCTATTGTAATATATGTATATACCCCAAGGTGGTAATTTGGCCCCTATTAATTCGGCTCATTTGGTTTGGTTAGGTTAGGTCAGGTTAGGCCCAACAACACATCACGTCACTCAATACAGCGATTTTCAATGCCTTAACGTTATGTGGTGACGTTGATATATTTGGCTGGCTGGTCACAGATGCTGCCTGCGGTGGTGTATAGGAAACTCCCTGCAGTTAATTTACAAGGCCAAAGAGAAGAGGGGGAGAGATGAAAGAATGTACACAACTGCTGATGCTTTACCAACACCCTAAACCAACACACACAGTAGACATCACTCATGTGGTTGGCCCTGTTTATGGCCTGGGAACGGTAGGTAAGTCAACAAACACAAATCTTATCTACTAACCGTCCGTACATCATCATTACCTGTATATGAACTGGTCAAATTACCTTCCACTAATTATGGTACAAATAATATCTGAGAATACCTAACCTAACCCAGTAATAACCTCAAATTCTATTATAAAGAACGCATAATGCTGCGTCCTGGGAAGCTCAAGAACCGGATAGGCCAAATACCAGCACTGTAATGTACCACTCCAGTAATTGCTGCTTGGCGCTCTAAAGAAAATGCAACGTTAATTCGATTTTAATAGCTACTGATAATGGTAATGTAAAACAACTTGACCTCATCTTAATAGTGGTGGTGGAGACAATGATGAGGGTGGTGGAGGTGACAATGATAGTAGTGATGAGGATAGAAAGTGACGTCATTCATCATATACTGTATATATTGACAGCAGTGGATGTGCTGATGGGGTGGGTGGGTGTGTTGACAGGGAGGGCGGGTGGGTGTTGATGTGTATACCGAAGACAACAGACCCACAATAGAAGTGAGTACAAATTACGAAAGTACACACATTCTTGATAAACTGTTGGTGACAATAGCGAGAGTGGGGGCGTGTCCATAAAGGAGGGAACTAAGGTACAGTACCTAGCTAGGTGTCAATAATGAGGCCTAATGAATCTGAGGGCGGTACATAACTATCATTACAGGTGGAGATAGATACCGTAGCTGTGTGGGTGTCGGTAACGTGGGGAACATGTTCATAATATGACAGGTTTAAGTGTGAGTAACGGGTGTATATATCGGCACAATGTAACGGTAGAATAATACCAACATACACGGTGGATGTATCCATAAACGGATCTCAGTAAGAAGGGTGGATGTATCCATAAACGGATCTCAGTAAGAAGGGTGGATGTATCCATAAACGGATCTCAGTAAGAAGGGTGGATGTATCCATAAACGGATCTCAGTAAGAAGGGTGGATGTATCCATAAACGGATCTCAGTAAGAAGGGTGGATGTATCCATAAACGGATCTCAGTAAGAAGGGTGGATGTATCCATAAACGGATCTCAGTAAGAAGGGTGGATGTATCCATAAACGGATCTCAGTAAGAAGGGTGGATGTATCCATAAACGGATCTCAGTAAGAAGGGTGGATGTATCCATAAACGGATCTCAGTAAGAAGGGTGGATGTATCCATAAACGGATCTCAGTAAGAAGGGTGGATGTATCCATAAACGGATCTCAGTAAGAAGGGTGGATGTATCCATAAACGGATCTCAGTAAGAAGGGTGGATGTATCCATAAACGGATCTCAGTAAGAAGGGTGGATGTATCCATAAATGGATCTCAGTAAGAAGGGTGGATGTATCCATAAACGGATCTCAGTAAGAAGGGTGGATGTATCCATAAACGGATCTTAGTAGGGAGGGTGGATGTATCCATAAAAGGATCTTAAGATGGGTGGATGTACCCACAAACGGATCTCAGTGAGGAGGGTGGGTGTATCCACAAACGGATATCAGTAAGGAGGGTGGATGTACCCACAAACGGATCTCAGTGAGGAGGGTGGATGTATCCATATACGGATCTCAGTGAGGAGCGTGGATGTATCCACAAACGGATCTCAGTAAGGAAGGTGGATGTATCCACAAACGGAACTCAGTAAGGAGGGTGGATGTAGCCATACTGCAGGCGGGTGTCACCAACGAGAGAGTAGCTACTGTCCATAATGTGGGTGCTCGCCTGCATGTGTGGATAGTCACAAACTGTACCGTAGATGCGTGTCACTAACAGGAGACACCTAATAAAAGGTAGCGGACAGGGGTTAATTCTACAGGATTTCTCAACAGTCTTCATCTCGAGAAACATTCCTAAGAACCGATACATGTTTCTTGACACGCTGGGAAGACTGAGAAGTGTTTGCCTGTTATAGTTGATCACTGTCTCTGTCAGACAAGCGTGATTTTTGTATCATTATTTTCAGACGCCCTTGTAAGTTCAAAGATTTATAACGGGCAATGTTACTTGTCCATTTACAATATACCGGTACATTTTATTCTTCATCACTTGTCCAGTGTCACTTCTGTAGGTGTGTCCCATAACGAAATTCTTGCCCCCCTTCGGAGTTAATGAACGGCTAGTTTTGTCACCGTCCTTATACAGCCTATTACTTCATATCTTGTTTCGGTCACACAAAATGGGAAGACAAGCCACCCCGCCCTGTTTTGTAGTCTCTTGGGAATCACGGAGTACTTGGTTGCTTCACTGGGTTTCCTGGTCGTCATAGAGGGGAGCGTACTGTGTATATACATGTTGTTGATGAGGTAAGGTGTCATGAGCAGGGACAGGCGTGTTGATGGGTGGGCGGGGTCGCAGGACACGTCATATCATCAATTACAACTCCTCTACACACCTTAATTACCTTTACCAGTAAGTGGAAAACTATTAATCATATCATGAAAATAATACAGGACAGTATGGTGAAACTTGTCACTACATAACGGGAGCACCGCAAAGCATTAAATAACGCTATTAGGATGTGTTCACCTGTGACGGCTGGGGCACTAGAAGCTACTACCGTTACCTAGCTACAACAAAACCTGGGGTGACAGGTGGAGATAGAAGATTGACCTAGGCAAGTGTCACGGCTATCGACGTCGTCCTCCTGTTGCCGTATACCACCATACATAACACTGTTTCGTCTTACTTGTTGTACCGCCACAAGTACCACTATCTTCTCACTCACATCAGCCTCCTCCTACGGAAGACACTGACTCCTGTAACACAAACTTGAACCAAACACTCCAGGAACTGTGGAACACGAAAGAAGTTGGCCGCTGGCCACCATGGCCCCAGCTGACAGTGACAAGCACAGCGCCGGGGCTGCAACAAGGCAACCATTTACTGTTTCCACCTCCACCATACTCCCCACGCTTCTCTGCCTTCCTTTTCAACCTCTATCATGTTTCTTAAACAATGACAAACGATAAATCTAAAGTAACGTGGGCTTGTCTACAACCATTCTCCGACGCATTTACTTTATGATACGCCGAGGCTGAGCTTGGGGTTGAGCTTAGGAATGCCACGAAACAAATGTAAGTTGTGTTGTGTTCATGTTAACAGCCACTACCATGAGTTTCATATATTACCAAGAAAAAAATCGTCAGCCCCAACAGTAGAGATGTATACTCGGGCAGCCATCATGTCATTGATTTGAAGCTACCAAAAGTCTCTTATGGATTTCAATATTAATTCCATTGAAACAAAAATGTATAAGGATAAATTCTGGCAGGCTTAAATAACCACTATAGCTGTAATACTTACAGTCTAAGTGTTTCTTCTTGGGGCCAATAACTTCTTCTGTGGTTGCTTTACAGACTGACTTGGCAAGCCCCTGTCCGGCTAGACTGTAGCGAGCCGCTGTTAGTCTGTCGTTGATGGATTGCCCGGCCATTTTGGCAATTATATGTGATTAGGGTGTAAAAACAAATCACTAGAATGGCTTCAGGTGGCCATACAACAAGAAACACTGTAACCACTACGAGGGCCGACGACTGACCCTCCCCTCACAGCCTTCCACATACAACTGGACCAAAATGGCGATTTGAGTGGGTGTGACGTCATGCCTCCGGGGTCAAAACAACTTCTATTGTTTTTAGGTTTTTATCCTACAAATATTAACCATATAATAATAATAATAGATGGTAATGTGTTTTATTAATATTTATGTTAGGAATTCAAATACAAAATGACTAGTTGTAATAGTTAAATATTAAGTGGGTATAATGATCAGCTGGGCGGTGTAAACAAAGTGGTGTCATCCTGGCCCTAACCTTATTGGTCATATTTTGTCCCATAACAACGTAAATGACAATTACCTCGTTGACGGTATGAAGATAGTATTTAGTGGCAATAAGTTACCTTAAAATATGAAATCAATTCACATCATAATACGCGTAGTATAAGTTAAAATGTCATAACTGGTGGAGCCTAGTGACACACGCTGGCTGCAGTCTGTTCATAACTATAGATTTATTCAGACAAAAATTGACGATATAGTTATATTTTACCAGTAATAAACCGCTTAGCCACTAAACATTGCCATATGAGTGTGATTTTGAATGTTACCAGGCAGTTGTTGTAGTGTTCATTTACTAGAAGGAAATGGAACCCAAAGTGACTCCTCAGTTTCTAAATTGGGTGAACTATTCCCGTTCTGTTGAATTTATTAATTTGTAGGGGCAAGTAATATGGCCTTTGTATCTTTTGTACTTTGGTAAATTATTAAAAAATCATCTCTACACTATGATTTAAGCTGGAACACATCACTACCGTCAAGCTCTGGACTATTCTTACTTGGTATCTCATCCCTGCCAAAATCAGTTTTTGACAGTGCTGAAAGTGTTAAGGCTGTAGTAATAAATTCAAAGCAAAAGGAATAGAACCATACGTGAAATAAATCTTTAAAGTGAGAGGAGTATTTCAAGTAGGTTAAGAAATGGTGCACACACTTCCCTACCAATAATAACTCTTGAGATCATATAGAAGTTGTTTAATTCCTGTTAGATTTATTCCATAGAAGGGTTATTTGGGAATTGTTCTTTAGGGTTGATGGATTTTTCTGATAGCATTTTTGTAGTGTCTGACTTTCATGAGATTGGCGAAAGAATATCAGTACTGAGGCTAAATCTTTCAAAGGATAATTATGGGATAGTAGTTTTATTTTGCTTATGGCTCTTATGTGTGGAAGTAGGCTTTCGTGGCAGTCTCAGACATTTACATAACTTCTTTGTGACTTCTTGTGTGTTACTGGTACTTTTGTTTTTTTGTCATGAAGATTAGAAACACCTGCTGGCTCCAACTGATGATTAAACACCCAAATGCTAACCTAACCCTTCTCCTTTAGTATCGGAGTGATTGTCCAGTAATCATCAGGTGAAATAAACTGGGGTTTTAATCTTGTCGAGTCTTATTTGATTTTCGGTTCAGGGTTTATTCATAGGGTTCCTTTATTTCCAAAGCTTTTTCAGTTTATTTTGTTTAGTAAAGTACAGTACTGTATTAGGTCACTAGATTCTGTATTAGGTTAGGTTAGGCCTTACGGTTTCTTCATTGTTCTTCTGTCGTTAGTTGTACTGTACCTACTTTTATGGTCTGATTCCAGGCCTTTCCACTGCACAGGTTGCACCTAAGTTGACATATCATTAACCAAGCTTACAGAAAAAAAAATTCTCACCTTTAGTTGATAGTCCCTGAGGAAAGAAGTATCTGTGTTTCTCCTCTAGTTTATATATAAGCTGCATGCCTACTTGGCATTAGGGTAGGTTCAGGCATGTAGTTACTAGTGCTACATAAAGTAAGTATGGATATTCTCCTTTGCTCTTCATTATGTAAATGTTACATATGCATCAACTAATATGCTGATGCGATGGTCAGATGGAGTTGTCTTACCTGGTGTTGTGGTACAGTAGTCACACTACATGGCTTTAGTCCAGTTTGACCTGTGCCCGGGTGGGCTAATTCCCAAAAAAAAAAAAAAAAAGGAAGGTCAGGGGTCAGCTGATGGCATGGTGTTCTAGCTGCCAGCAAGTTTTATAGGTGGTTAACTTTAAGTTGGAACTAGATATCATATGTGGTTATAAAGTAATATACTGTACTGTATTGTGTTAATGTTGTGAAGAGACTAGAGTGTTTCACACCATAGGAGTGCTCAGGACTTTACAATACAGTATTTTCTACTGGGAATTATTGTGTACACTTCCAGTTTTATCTGTAATCATACACAAACCCTGCAGGAGGCCTCATAACTGGTGCAATGTGAACATTTATTTTGATAAGGACCTTTATATGCTCTCATTTAGTTGTACATCCCTGTGTATGACATCTTGTTTACTGGTAGATACAGAAGCATGTTTGTTCAACCCTCTTTCACTTGCATATTTCTCTTTTTTGAGTATACAGTACAATGCTTAGCCATACCTTTTCCAAATGTGATTCAGCTTTCCTTGCTAAGAAAGCCATTTTTCAGACTTGCCTGATTTAGCTGTGATTACCTAAGGCAGCTCTCCAGGCTGCACAGTCTCTTACAACTCCTTTAGTCAGGTGTTTAGAGATAATTTCTCACAACCTCTCCCATGTCATTCTTGGCCTACCCCTGACTCTCCTCCCCTCCACATTCAAACTCATACATCTCTTGATCCAGTTGTTCATTCCTCCATTCTCTCCACATGCCTAAATCATTTCAACCCATCTTAATGCAAAACCTCGTCAATATTCAGCCACTCTCTTAGCTCTGAACAGGGTTTCATATCTCTCGGTGTCACATTACACACACATTGTCTTTAATTGCCCGTTTTAATGCTATCCAACAACACACTTCTTACTCAGACTACATAAATTTTCCTTTCAAGTTAATAGAAGGCCTTCTTACCACCAATTAAGGTTACATCTCCCTAAACTACTTCAAGCTATTTGTCACTTACAACTGAGCTGACTTCAGCGCTGATGGTGTCACCCAGGTAGAACTCAATGACACAATCAAGGGATACATCCCCAATGAGGGACTTTTCCAACCTTGTAAAGTTGTCCTATTTTAAAAATCTGCCTGGCTGTTGGTTCTCAAAGAATTTTTGTTACTCAACCATTGTTTACTCTTTCAAGCCTTTTCTCACAATTATAAAAAGTAGCTGGAATCAAGAGTAAGCATACACACACAGAGACACGCCTTCCATTTGCTGTCATTTATCCATTCATATTACTGTATTCCACACTAAAGTTTCAAATATCTATCTGGTTTACACGTCACTTCAATCAACCTTACATCACCCATTAACAGGATGTCCATCTCCCAGAATCACATCCCATATTAATCTCTGGTCATTCAGTCACATAATAGCTTTCTAGGTGTCCACATCCCCCACTCTTAGTAGTATACAGTCAGGGTCAAAAGTTCGCTCTCTCCCAAACTGAAGCAGTATCGATACCAATAAAAATATAACACCACACCTGCAGTAGATGACAGTCTGATTAAATTCAGAGACTCATTCCCGTGATTCAGTTTCACCACTTTTGTCCACACCTGTACTGTACATCCTTCACATAGAGGCACATTCTAGCACTAACCTGAACCTGATATAGTGTAGTACAGTACTGTACTGTATTCTCAAGTTTTATTTTTTCCTGGACTTGACCTCATTTCACAGAAAACATTGTGAATTCTAGCCAGAAGCTGTTTTTAAAATGTTTCAAAACAAATGTACATGATGGTATTGAGTGCAGTAGTGCAAAAAGAAAACAGTATGTTTAGTATTAAAGAAAAGGTGCAATTTTCACAGAAATCCAATTAGGGTCAGTCAGCAAGTAAATTCTGTTGTAACCAGAATGGTGTAGGAACCACAACAATTATGACTAAGAACAAAAGTGGCTTCTAACTTAAGTTTTCAAAATTACAGCTCCAAGTTAATTAACATATATAAAAATGTAGATTACTGATGCTTCTTGTTTTCCACATAAAACTTACATGTAAATAAGGAAGAAATGTGTAATCTGGATGCTTATTAGATTGGCAGTGCATGGTAGAGTGGGTGATCGACATGTTTACATTTGGCTACTACTAACAGGATTATTGTAATTATAGTATTTGGTGAGCATTTACAATACAGAGGAAATACTAAAAATTAATTTAAATTACCAGCAACTCCTGTCTTCACATTATGATATACTGTACAGTACAGTAAACTGTTGATACTGTGTCATAAATACATGTTTGGTGTGCGCTTTCAAGTTTCTCACATCCTTTTAAACAACCTGTGGGCTGATGTCACACCCACAAATGCTCTCCTACTCTGATATAATTATTTCACCATAAATAAACATTGCAAGTTTTGTAAGGCATATGCTCATAAACACTCTTGTGATAGTGTAGGCTCTTGTCTTAGTGGCTGTTGCTTAAAGATGCTTCTAAACCTACTGTACAATTTGGAGAAATTCAGTAATTTGACAAGTGAAGAAGTGAACATGTGTAAAGGTGTTGTGTATGCATCTATGTCCAAGCCTTGTATTCCAAAGATTCAGATTTCAGATTTGCCCCCACCTTGTATTCCAAACTGTCCAGAAAGATTCACCAAAGCAATCCAAGCCCTAAGAAAAATAAGGATCTACATGTCACTAAATCAGATAAAGCCAACACAGTAGTGGTTTTAAACAAAGATGATTATATATATATATATATATATCAGCTGGAATCCCTCAAACCCGGAACTCTCTGATAGCCGGAAATAAAATTTTCCGAGGATCAAATTTTCCAGAAAATTTCAAGAAAATTTTCTTGATACCCAGAAAATTCCAGGGATGAGATATATTTTCCAGGTTCAAGAGATAATGTAATGGGCAATTTCTGGAGCTTCCGAGAAAATTTTTCCTTTATCCAGAGAATTCCGGAAATGAGGGATATTTTTCCGGGTTCGAGAGATGATATACAGTAATGGGTAATTTCTGTAACTTCCAAGAACATTTTTCTGTTATCCAGAAAATTCCGTGGATGAGGGATTTTTTCCGGCTTTGAGAGAGTCGTCTCGTTACCCGGAAATCTCTCATTCCCAGAAGTGCTCTACACCAATTGTTCTGGCCAAAGGAGATATCACTTCTATATATCGTTAGCAGCAAGTGACACTCTAGGTGTAGTGTAATGCATAATGATGAGGTAGATTTATTTGCAAATCTGATGATATAAAGTCCTCTTTAACAGCAATCATTTGTGTGTCCCATGAATTTTGTTAAATACATTTGGCCACACATGTAGTAGATATATTAAATACAAAATTCTGATTAGAAATAATGTACCAAAATATACTGTAATTTGAATCTTTTTCAATCTTTAGGGGTAACATGCATTGCTCTTATTAAGTGGTCACCTGGTATTACAGAGACATAGCAAGCACAAGCACGCACGCACACACACACACATATATATATATATATATATATATATATATATATATATATATATATATATATATATATATATATATCGGTTTGCAAACAATAACTCATACCAAACTACTGTAATTTACTCCCAAAGTATAGTAGGATAATTGCCAAACTAAATAAATATAGCACTTTACAGTTGGTACATTACCTTATGGGCGGGTTGATTTCAATTTTCGATCAGACATCTTTCAGATAAGCAAATGATGGCTCTCAGATAATTGAAGAGGTGTAAGAACACTGTATAATTTTTGGATAGCAAGGGATAACTGTATATAAAAACTTCACCGAGTCTCAGGTATTGTAAATTCTTCAGTATGATACTTCATATTCATTTTAAATATTGTCTTAATACTGTATTCCCTGTAATTAACAACTTTATTTACTGTTTAAAAGTCTTGTGTTTACCATTCAGTAAAGAAGAAATTAAATAGTTATTTATTTAAAGAAAATCACTACAGTTTATAACATTGATGAATGAGTCACTTGTGAAGAACTAATGTAAGCATTTCAAGAAAATATCTCACTAAGGTGCTGACTATCCTTAGGCATCACTATTTACAAATACATCACTCTTTCATCTACCTGAATATTGCAACTTCAACATACCTTCCACCTTTATGACAAAAGAAACAAAGATAATCTATATAAACTCCTGTGGATTCAATAGACTACTATTTTTAGAAAAGGTGGAAATTGCCTACTCGGCAATCTTTAATTATTTCTACAATAATAATTATTCAACACATTTATTGAAAAACTTATCCCTGCTAGAGAGAGTTGGTTTGCTTTTTTTTTTACTTTAATGTTATTCCAGTATATCATACACCTCAGTCCTGTACAACAGATGCCTCAGTGTGTTAACAGTGTATTCTCTACATTTCTATTCACTCACTTGCATCAGATATTTGCACTATTACATGTGGTCATTAACTAAGTCTTCTATTAGGTCCTTCCTGAATATATGAGCACAAATATTAGCAAACATATTTTAATTTAACAAGTAACACAAACTGATAAAAACTGGAGGCTCGCTCACCTTGCCTAATTCCTGCATGTAAACATCACAGTTCCAACAACAAATCTTTCACCATAGAAACAACATGGACTGGGGACTCACATTCACGACACACTCACTGAACAAGCTTCATTATCACCTGCAATATTGTTTTTCTCTCCATTGTTTATGTATACAGTGTGGTGCAGAAAGAGGATATTATCTGAGTGCACATAGGTAGTACAGTACTGCATACAGTAATACCCCAGTTAGTGCTGTTTTATTACAGCACTCTTGCTTGCATCTTGGAGCTCTAGGGGGAAAACAGAGTACTTACAGTAAGTCCTCGATATATGCGAGGGATGCGGTCCTGAAAACCCTTGCATAAATCGAAATCGAATTTCTCGAATGATTAGTTAAAAGGGGAAAAAATAGGATGCGTTCCATCACCCAAAATGAAAATGTTCCAGACCTATTTTCAAGACAAATAAACCATAAAACAAATCAATACAATCTTATATTCGAAATAATAGATAAAGCAAGTGTACAGTACAGTGTACGTAACAATAAAAGCAGATACATCAACTTGGGTAGATGAGATGATGGAGGTGGTTTACATAGTGAGTGATGGTGTTGGAGTGACATCTGCAGAGTCATCAGGGTTGGAATCCATATCAAGGAGTGTGACATCCCGCAAAAGGCTGAATTTTGCTCGCATTAATTGAATTCCTGGTAGGAATACGGTCTTCACATTTAAGTGAATTCACATATATCGTGGACTTACTGTAGTCAAACGTCACAACTCCAAACACTCACAAAATACAAAGAGCATCTTTCTTTGTTTTTATGCAAATCGGCCAAACAGCGCCAAGCACTCTGTTTACAGTCTACAGTACAAATTTGCTTAAACTGTGGACACATTCTTGTTGCCTCACTGATTTTTTTTATATTATTGACTATTTTTTACTCATCATGTCTGGCAAAACGGCCTGCAAGTTTTAATGCTGCTAGTGCATCTAAAGTGCCACGGAAAAGTATTTCCTTGGAATTAAAATTACAACTGTTGAGGCGATTAGAAGCTGGTAAGCATCAGACGGATGTTGGTGCTGCTTTCAACTTGACAACATCGACTGTTAGAACCATTATTTAAGAATGCAAACAAGATAAAAGCTTCAGCCATGACAACCACGACGTCATTATATTAAGTGTAGGTCTTAGTGTCTGACAAAAATGTGCGTGGTTAACTGAAGCACAATGTGTGTGGTGGAGGGATGGAGATCAGCCACTGAGGAGCACTTGCCAACACCCTGTGCATGTTACCACTCCACCTCCCTATCACTCCCCTTTTCTGCTTTCTCACCCCATATTTTAAAATGCTATGTAACGTAATGTTAAAGGGATACAAAGTTGCCCATTTATACTTATACACAATTTTGTAGACAGATATCAGCTGTTCAATAGCATCTGGCAATGCTGCAAATAAAGTGTTACTGAAGAAACTGACAGACGCATCACTTCCTCACCACTTACCAGTCTCTCTCATCGCCACCTGAATCATAATTTCCGGATGCAGAGATGAATTAGCATCAACCATAACAGAACCGTACGATATCCACCTCCATCCGCCTGCATCCCTCCCTCCCACCTACACACTGCGCCTCACGCTCATTCATCAAATGACTGTCATTCATGATACAATATTGTTTAGGGTATATGTTATTCAATAATTAGTAAAGACAGATATAAGCTGATAACTGACATATATAAGGACTGGAAAAAGTTGTTGGTTAATGAATCAACGATTATCGAAGCAATTAATTTCATAATATTATGAAAAATTTAGGGGTTTAAATAAACAGCCACCCTCCAAAAACTCCCATCTACCCTCGATATATCTTGTTGTGCACACTGACAAGTAAGAAGATAAAGCAAGCATACTAAGCCTTAAATAAGCAATGTAAAGCATAAATTGAGACTGTTATTTACCTGTGTTGAGGATGGTAGAAATGGTCTAAGTGGCAAGTTCAAGTCTCTACCAATCTTTGCTGGTCCAAGACCACTCTTATTACAGTACACTTTATCACATCACATCAAGCAGCCCCAAAGAGGGGCACAGCACCACAAGAGGAACTATCACTGGGGCGTTTAGGAATGATTGCATAACACAAGAAGTCGGAAATAACGGAAAACGACAAAATTCAGCTCTGCTGCTCCTCTCCTGATCGTCAGACCTCTGGGGGTACCGGGTATCAACGAAAGTTTTAGGCTTTCCCCCTATATATAGTTGGCAGTTATTGGGTCTTTGGTTTTGCATATACAATACCTGTATATGTTACTGTAATAATCTGTGTTTATTAATACCTGTACCCTTAAAATACAATACTGTATCTATCTCATGGGTAAAAAATAACGTCATCAGGGACACATTTTCACATATACAATGGTATAATGACCGCCTTAGAATGCTGTTTTGGATAGCTCTCCTTTATCCAGGCATGTATACTGAGCGCTAAACGGGGTATTACTGTACTTTTATTTATTTCATCCCTTAATATATGTATACTGTACTGTATCTTCTAAGTAGGCATTCAGATTGTGACAGGTGTCAATATATATGCAGGAATATCTGACAATGAGAGATAAGATATTTTTTTACAATTTATTAAGAATTTAAGATATGATATTCATGTAAATTTAATGAAACCTTGAAAAAGAATTACAAAACACTAAAGTCTTATTTTAATGAATTATCTTCTATGAAAATTTTTTATTTCCAACACAAAATATCTTAAACCTCTTGCTAGAAATGCGGCCATCACTATAATTTAGGATAAGACAAATATGCCAAAGTCTACACAATTATTATACTGTTAAACTTGCATAACCTCTTAAAAGCATCAAAACAAAACTCCTTTAACTATCTCTTCAAGGGAAATGCAATACTGTACTGTATTTCAAAAGAAAATAATAAAAATTCTTCAACATACACATCTTCACTTGATGGGCTGCAATTTTCCCCTAAAAACAAATAGATAAGAGATCCTATATATCCTTGAGTTATATAGCACAGTTAACTCTGTGGTGGCGGCGGGTCTTGGTTACTACTGCCCTGAGAGTCTCCTGAACTGCCGCTTGGTCCACGATTCATTTGCTGGCGGATTTGTTCAACCAATTCTGGGTGCTGGGTCTGCATCTGCTCTGCTAGTTGTCGCCCACTAATTGTTGAAAGAAAAACATGCACAAAATGAAGTTATAAGCAAACAGGTATGTGCTTATACCATAACAGTATGATAGAAAATTGTTTTGGCTACAGTAATATTTCCATTAGCTGGAACTATCCAATACCCAGAATGGACGAGTTGTCGGTTCTGGGTCAACACAAAAAATACTCTGCCACGTTCGTAGAGTGATACGGTATATATAATTTGTAATAAAAGTTTAAAGTCCTGCTATAATAGTCGAGATAAGTTTATTTCTCTAGAAACAGGGCCGCCATTTTCAATGACGTCATCACCTTCCCTGCAGACGACGCAGGGATGGAGATACGAGTCAATTTAGAAGTACGTACAGGTAATAACATTGTCTGGACTTTGTTTTGAGAATACCCGATGCTCGGTAAACATGACAACATAGTGCTGTTATTGTTTTGATGATTCACTAATGAACCACTGGCATGTATTCTCATTTATATTAATTAATGGGTAAAATTTGACTTTAACTGCCGTAGTATTTGGATCCTTAGATTCGAGATAGGCCATATTGAGTAAATTTTAAGTTTTAGTCATCCCTGTATTTAGACATGCAGACGATGTTGTTTTTTTCTGATGGCTTGCGATGTGTTATAAAGTGATTTAGACCTTCATTTCTATCGGAAATCACTAGTTTAGTTACTCCCCCCCCCCACTTATAATTTCCTTAGGTGATTAAAAAAATTTTGCAACAGAAGTCCTGTAGAGATAATGTGTCTTATTGTTTAAAGTACTTAATCCCATAGTTAGGATATTAAGGTTCCCCAGATGACCCAAACCAAAATAATACCAATATTGTTTGGAATGTTTATACAGGTGTACTATGAAAATTTGGAGTAGGGGCAACTGTTATCCATTGAATTAGTTAATGTGCTTAGTAATATTTATATATTCAAAATAGTATTACTGTGTTGCATAGTAAAGCACAATTTATTATCTAATATTTATTCACAGAAACAGTCAGCAGAGAAGGTTGGACAACTACATCCAGGGTTCATCAAGGCAGATGAAAGAAATTTACCAAAAGTAGATGTCTTTATGATAGAGTATTATCAAGAACTCCTCCATCCAGCTATGAAGCACATTAAATTCCATCTGTCATCTGATCATCTCAAACCCATCCCCTGACCATGGTCATCCCTAGTCCTTCCACAACATTAAATATAGACATCAGTGATGAAAACTTACATTTTCCAGACATGAAATAGAGAACAGTGATGAAAACTTCCATGTTGGAGTTATATGTCTTTTTGCATCATTTTGGCACCCAGCAAGTAAATACACACGAAGATACTCGAGCAGTAATTTATTTTAACTTAAAAATAAGGTATGCCTATATAGATCAACATTGTATATGGCCTCAAGGCTCCCTCTCAGCGGTTCGAGCTAGTATGTGACGTGACAACCAATCACAGAGCTTTTCGCAGTTACGTGACTTTTTAGCAACTTTAACCCTTATTTTTTATTTTTTGGCCCAATTTATTTAAAAATATCATTACCATAGTGAATTTAAGCGTTTTCTTTACTCATTGATCTGCCATCTTACGAAAAAAATTCCGACCGACAACTCGTCCATTGAAAGTGGCTCGAAATTGTTTCCGGAAAATTTCTCTGTGAAAGAGTTTCCGAGGTTGAAAATTAGGTGCATTTTCTGAGAAAATAATGGAAATTATCCCCCCTCCCCTAATTCTTGGGGCAAATTCCAGGGATCAAATAATGTGTAATTCTGGAAAATTCCAGAAACTCTCCATTTTTTTCCAGGTCTGGGAGCAAAAGCTGAGGATAAAATAATGTGTAATTAAGGGAAAAATTCGAGAAACTTTTCCAATGTGGGATTTTTCCGGGTTTGATAGGGTTGTCTCATTACCCAGATGAGCTCAACGCCAATTATTCCGACTAAAGGGGACATCACTGTACAGTACTGTACTTACATATTACACATACTATAGCTGGTTAACTCAAACTTCACAACTGAAGCCTACAGTCAGTTTGTATTGTAACAAGGCTACTGACTGGCTAGCGAACGGACTCACAAAGAGTTAATACAGTTCTTTAGTACAGGTAGTGATATCTCTGTTAACTGGAACAATTGGTGTAGAGCACTTCTGGAATGAGAGATTTCCAGGTAATGAGACGACTCTCTCACAGCCGGGAAAAAATCCCTCATCCCCGGAATTTTCCGGGTAACGGAAAAATATTCTCGGAAGTTCCAGGAATTGCACATTACATCATCCATGGAACCCGGAAAAATACCCCCCCCATCCCCAGAATTTTCTGGGTACCAGAAAATTTTTCTTGTAATTTCCAAAAAATATGCCTGATTTTCATCTCTCAAACCCGGAAAAATCTCACCCATCCCCGGAATTTTCTGGATACAGGTAGTTCTGCTATAACGCGATAATTGTGTTCTTGTAAAATATCGTGTTATGGAAAATCGCGTAATAGAAATAACAGGGCTTATGGAGAAAATAGCGTTAGGTGCAGATTACTCGAAATCGAAAAAATTTAGTAGTTAGCCTAACACAAAGGATAGCACAGTCTAAATAAATGTTACATTCATATCTAATAATGAAATCATACAGTAAATGTAACACTTTACTTGATGGGGGAGAAGGGTGATTTTGAGGTTGATAAAATCGAGCTTCTCTTCTAGTGTTATATCCTTTCTTTTACGATCATCACCGGGAATTCTATCACCAGAACGCTTCTTGTTGATATTCTTCTTTACTATATTCACAAAATTGGAGAAATAGTAAGCAAAAATCGCGTTATAGCAAACAAGCGTTCGCGTTATACAAATATCGTTCCTAATTCATAAATCGCGTTAGAGCAAATTCGCGTTATCAAAACATGCGTTATAGCAGAACTCACTGTACTGGGAAAATTTTCCAGAAATGTGCCCCTCGGAAAATCGATCCCAAAGCCGGAATTTTCCAGAAAATTTTGGCTTTAGGAATGAATTTCAGAGAAAATTTCAATTACAGCTATCGGAAATTTCCTAGTTTGGAGGATTCCAGCTAATGGATATATTACTGCACAGTGGTTCCTCGGTTAACGAACACAATTCGTTCCACAGAGTCGTTCGTTAACCGAATCTATTATTTCAATGGGATTGGTTCCAACTCAGAGAAAAAGTACATACAAAGTACTGTATACCAGTAACAGAATTAACAAAACATTAAATATAAACTAAATACTGTACAGTACTGTACAATAATAAATAAAAAACAATAGAATACTGTATTTTAACTTGCTTTGAGGTGTGTATGTCGTATTACCGGCAGCTTTATTTACATATCAAACAGCCGATTGTAGAGGCAGTCGATGATGACATGCCATATTCTTTAGAGTGCATTGGTTCTAATGCCTTCTTCATGTTTCATAATAATTTCTGCACTGTATATTATCAATAAGTTAACTAAATTCAGAATGACCAATAATTTTAATGTAAAAATGTAAAAATATTCAAGAAACCAACAAAATTGTTGTTCACTCCACTGTAAACAAAGTTAAACTGAGAAGCGTTGTTGGGTGATTCAATCAGATGATGGGCGCACAAAAACTGTTCCCTGTACTGTCTATATTATCAATATGTTAACTAAATTTCAGAATGACCAATAATTTTAATATAAAAAATGCAGAAATATTCAAGAGACCAACTTTCTTGATAATTACTTCACTGGAAACGAATGTAAACATAGAACCATTACTGTATTGGCGGACTAGCCGATCAGCTGATGCACACAACAAAACGTGTTTGTCGTAAGGATTTGTTAATCGAAGTTTTGTTCTAATTGAACTAAGAATCCTTATGGGAGCTAATTGGTTAACCAAAATTTCGTTAATTGAACCGTTCGTTAACCGAGGTACCGCTGTATTTATGCTGATATTTTAAGTGATTAATTTTTCTGTGTTGATCTATGATAACTTAAGCACTTATAGAAGTAAAATTAGCATGTGAAATGCTCTGATAACATAAATACTGTATCATAAAATATGGGCTAACTTATTTATTAAGGTCTCCAGATTAACCACTGTATTGTTAATTCTGAAAGTTAATTGACCCAACCCTGGTCCAAACAGACTCGCTGTATTTGCACTATTTTAAGCCACACATTTTCTTCACCCCAAAAAATGGCAAAAGGTGGTGGTGGGGCTTAGAGTAGGATACCATCAATCAACCCTACAGTGTACCAAACCCTTAGTGGCACAATAAAACTTTGAATCATTTACTAGTATTAACTTCACCTTAGTGACCATTCTTATGTTTGTAATAAGAAAGTTTTATTAGTATGTTAGATTTATGAGGGTAAGTGTACAAATCTTGGCACACTATGACGGACATGTTACCATGCTGAGGCCATGGAAGCAAACAGTTATAGGCTGTTGCCTATGGAGGCATAAAGATGGCTTGTTGATCCTTCAGATACTTTAAAATTTTGTTATTAAGCCACTTTAAAAGCAGTTGAAATTCTGATACATGAAAAAACTTCTCTTGCTGTGTTGGTGTGGCAACAATGGCATGCCTTCTGTTCCCAATAATACCACCAAAGTTTTCGTTTTACGATAACTTAATGATATTTGACTATCCAAGTGAGTTATGAGTTATATACTAGAGCAGTGGTTCCCAACCTTTCTGTACTCGCAACCCCTTTCTCAAAACCCTGAAACACACGCGACCCCCCTGCCATCAGCCATTTCAGTTTTACAAATTTTTCTGAAAAAGGAAAGGGGAAGAAAGAGAAAACAATCACTAATCCACAGGCACAACATTATGTTGTGTGTTCTAAGTTACTGGTGTATCAGCAAAATGAAAGTTTTGGTAATGTTCCTGCCGATGTACCAAGTTCTTCTCCTAAAGCTACCAAGTTCTCCCAAGGCTTCTCGACCCCCCAGCCAACCCTCCGGGGGTCGAGACCCACAGGTTGGGAACCCCTGTACTAGAGTCAATGTACAGTTGTGGACAAAATTAGCTGAATGCTTGGCATTACCTGGCATCTACTTGCAGGTCACATATATGATTGGTTTATATATCATAACACTGCTTTTCATCACAACCTGTACAGTACTGTACTATGTCGGAACCACTGGGAAATATTTTTTTTTAGAAAATACACTAAAATTCCAATCACATCATGTAATGATTCTCAAGTACAGTACTTACATGCCAGATACTGAGCTAAAGGTAAGTAACTTTATGTAGTGACCTGAGAAAAGGAAGGAAAATTTTTAAGCAAGTCAGACTACTGTACAGTACAGATATTGTGCAAAAATAAGTAAGAGAGTGACCTGAGAAAAGGAAGGAAAATTTTTAAGCAAGTCAGACTACTGTACAGTACAGATATTGTGCAAAAATAAGTAAGAGAGTGTTTTTGAGATATAAGCTACACTAAATTAAATTCCAGAACTACCATTAAAAACTAAGCAATAGTTTCAGAGATAAGAGTAAATAAATTATCATAAAAGCATCAATGTAACTTACGCAGTCAAGAGAGCCTCCATGCCAGTGCCTGTACCTGCAGGGGCTGTTGGGGGAGGTGGAGGAGGTACTACAGCTGGGGGAGGATTAACACCACCTGCACCCATACCTCCAACATTCCCCATGAAGCTGCTCATCCTGCAATGACAATTTAGTGTAAAAAATATCAAGCAGAATATTGGATAGCCAAGAAATTTTAAGAGTCCAAGATGCCTGTGTCAAAATTTCTAGAAATTCCACAGAATTCTCTAGTTTAAATTAAAAAAGCCAAGATCGCTTATGTTTTACTAATAAATTTGGATTCACAAAAAACCACATGATCACTTCGTTAAATTTGAATTTTCACGGACTATTTATTCTGAGGATCACAATCCACAAAAAAATAGTGCCCAGCTCCTTTACTTTAGCTATAAAACTACTCACCCACTACTTTCCCAAACAATACAAGAAATATCTCTTTAAATTGAGAACATTGTTCATGCTAGAGACTAGACTCACTCCTCACACTCCACTGGAGACCAAGCTATTGGAACTCCTAAATAACAACAAAATGAGACTACTGTACATCCTATTCACTAAAAAACTGCCTTAGCCAGAGTTTGAAGAACAAATCTTATGTCTTCTCTATCAGTTATAACAGATGACATGACAGTAATCCTGTCAGCCAGATAAATCAAACAGAAGACACCTGAGTAAGCCATCTCAGTATCAACAGTGTAACCTTAAAAAAGAATCTCAGCAATTTTCATCTAAAAAAGAAGTGTGCTATTTATTTGACTGAATACTCGTATATTATTTTCATGAGCTAACACATCACTAATGTCTATTGGTGTAAAAAAATATTACACCAAGTGAGGTGGTGTGAGAGGTTGATGGCCCAATGGTGACTAAGAATCAACTGATGAAATGTGTGGATGGCTACATGTACTTGTCAGACCCAACTAACTCTTATAGATGATGTGCCACTTGGCAGGACACTTACACAATAGCAAGAAAAATTAATGTGTCTATTGAAGTGCAGCGCAGTCGTTTGAGATCATACCTATTGACATGCACTGCAGTATAAAAAGTAATTTCACCCCCTGCTCATCATATTTGCCAAGGAACAATAACAAACAAACAAATGACCAACCTGGCCTACAGAAGTTTGCACACAGTTTAATTTTTTAAGAAGCATACTTTTGTTATTCACTTAAATCACGAAAATGTGACTATATAGTCTTGTTCTTTCATATGAAAGCTACTTACCAGTGTTATAGTCATGTACTCACATATTTTGCATATTGGGGTCTGACATAAGTTGTGTGGCCATGTTCATAAGGGCGGGATTATTCAGCATGCTGGTGAGGTCAGGGCCACCAGGACCACCCAATCCTGCAAGGTTACCCAAGCCAAATGGTAGACCTCCTGCAGTACCTGTTTAAACACATTTCAGAAGCAATGATGATAAAACTAACATTTAACTTTATGTATGAGTTGTCGACCTGTCTCTGAAATACTATTTATACAACAAAGAGCAATACAGTATAATAGATGTCACTCCTATTCAGTACAGTAATCCCTCACCAACTTCAGGGGAAATGTTCTATAATTCTGTTGTGGTTGGCAAGGTCTGGGTCTATTGTGAAACAAAGGGTTGGGGAACTGACTTATATGAGTGATAGGGTTTATAACATACGAATACATTATAAGCAGAGTTTCATGTAACTCATTGAAAATATCAAATTAATGTGTAACAAATACTGTATACCTCTCTTACCACACAGCTATAACCATCAAAACCTCTTCCAAATTAAGTCACCATCAAATTATTAAATAAAAGTGATCTTACCAAATCCTCCTATCGAGTTGGGTCGTGACTGCTGAGGATCTGACTGTATTTTCTCTTCAGCAATAGCCAGGTTCCCTCTGTAGCTCTCATTGTCTGGTTCCAGCTCCAATGCCTTCTTGTAACAGTCCTTTGCTTGGTATTGATCATTTAGACTTGAATATGCCAATCTATTGAGAGTTAAATACCATAACATTGAATAGTACAGTACAGTTGTTTTTTTCATCTGAATAAACATTTAGTCACTTTTTGATAAGTGCCTTAAGCAATGAATGAGATATGAGGAAGGAGAGTTAAAAAAAGAAAAAGGAGGTAAATGACAAATTTTATAGATCTACGGAAAATATGTTCCGTCTTCCGTTGGAGGCGAGGAAAAACAGTTAAACAGATGTCATGGTCAAGTTTCAAAGTTTGTTCACTTTTACATAGATTAAGAGAGGCATGGATTTACATATATTAAATGGGAGACATGTACATATCTCTATAAATTAATCGTATTTTGTACCAAAATTTAACAGATAATGCATAGGCACACTGTGAACTGAACATCTACAAGTTGAGTTGGAATTATAATGTAGTCGAGACCACTAAGTCTGAGGTCAAGTCGAGATTGAGACCATTAACTATTTTAGCATTAATGAATTACCCCGCGTTGAATACTGTTGGTAACATGATAAATGAAGCCAAGTAGTGACTACTGTATATACTGTGTCAGTCAGTAACTGAAGCTCTAGTGCTGATTCCTTTTAGGTACTACACGTACTTATCTACATTACAGTCCCAGAGAAAACACAAGAAAATGTATATCAAACACCTGGCTTTACATAAACAAGTCTCTTACCCCATTCTTCCATAAGCTTTACTGTACTGTGGTTCAATCTCTAATGCTCGTCTGCAGTCCTCAATGGCTTCTCGGTGGTTGTTCAATTTACTGTGCGCAGCTGCTCTATTGCAGTAGTAGACAGCATTCAAACAGTCCTTACTAATAGCTCTGAAAAATGAAGTAGTGAACATTATGTGAGACTGTGATCAAAATATAATTGATACAGTAAATATATAAAAAATATTAACGATTTATGTCATCCTTTGCATCTAGTGTCGAGGCACAGGCACTGATGAAGGAGGTGTGTTGAGAGTTGTTAAGGAGAAAATGGGGCATTATGAGGGGTATATTTATCCCAAACAGGCAGGCATTAAGGTTAGTCCCTACAAGAAGGTATGGTAAATGGCAAAGGTGACTCCATTTATGTGATTGCCCTCTGTAATAGAAAATGGTGCAGTATAGCCAGCCCCCTATTGTATGTGAGTTGATCCTTGTCTGGCAGCCGAGATTGACCTATGGCTGTAATATGTACAGTAAAGTAATGCCAAAACAAGTACCTAGTGAAGCAAGTATTCTTTAAGTTTTCTGGATCAAGAGCCCAAGTGCACAACATACCATGACCTGGACACAAAATAAGAATGTCTTTAATATGTAACAAAATAACAAAATACACTATTGAATTAAACCTGGACACCTTAAGGACTTGAGGGCACCATCGGCATACACGTAATATCAATACAAAGACTCTCCCGTTTCATTCAAGCATTAACATATAATGAGGGAGCAAGAGAATACAGTAATTATTGTATGTATAATGTGTATGTTGTATGTATATCATGTATGTTGTATGTATATTATGTATGTATTCCATTTATATATCCTACTCACTGCGCCATGTACATGTTCTGGGTACTCAGTTCTAACTACAGGAGCGAACACAAACACCTGTAGAGTTTTTTGACGAGCTGGACTCCATGGTCGCCCAAGAAATCATTGCACCAGCCGGTGATGACCCGTCTCCATGGTGTCACCCAATGGTAGTCGTCGCAAAAACCCAAAGGTGGTGTTCGGATCACCACTGACCTCTCCAAGCTCAACAGCCAGGTGTCTCGTCCTGCGCACCCTTCTCCCACGCCCTTTGCAGCCATATGCAGTGTGGACCCGAAGGCGCGCTTCTTCACGACGATGGACGCCCTGTGTGGATACTGGCAGATAGAGCTTGCCGAAGAAGACCGACCACTTACAACTTTCATGACCCCGCATGGACGTTACAGTTATTGCTGTGGCCCCATGGGATTCGCTGCTACAGGAGATGCCTTTTGCCTTCGAGGCGATATGGCTCTACAAGGTCGGGCAAACTCCGTGAAAGTGGTCGACGACATACTCGTGTACAATGAGGACTACATTGATCACCTCTGCCGTATCTATGAGGTACTCAACAGGTGCCGGAAGCACGGCATCACCCTAAATGCCGACAAGTTTGTTCTTGCCAGCTCTTCAATGGACTTTTGTGGGTACACACCTCTCAGGGAATGGTATTGCAGCTGACCCGGAGAAGGTCCGAGCCATCACGGATTTTCCCACCCCTGCCGACCTCACCGACTTGAGGTCCTTCATCAGTCTCGTCGACCAGTTAGCAGAGTTTTCGCCGGACATCTCCGCAGCCGCCCAACCACTTCACCCCCTGATGAGCCCCAAGAGGACATTCCTGTGGACTCCCGACCACGACAAGGCCTTCAGCAAGTGAAACAGGCCCTGTCTAGTCCACCTGTCCTCGCCATGTTTGACCCAGCCTTGCCGACGGTTCTGCAGACAGATGCCTCACGCTTGTACGGGGTGGGATATGCCCTATTGCAGGATCATGGTGGAGGGCAGTTCCGGCTCGTCCAGTGTGGCTCGCGTTTCCTCTCTGACACCGAGACGCGCTATGCTACTATTGAGTTGGAGCTGTTGGCTGTGGTTTGGGCGATGTCCAAGTGCAGGTTTTACCTCATAGGCCTGCAACACTTTCACCTAGTGACCGACCATCGCCCGCTTGTCCCGATCCTCAACCACTACACGCTGGACACCGTTGAGAACCCTCGCCTCCAGCGTCTGAAGGAGAAGCTCTCGGAGTACATCTTCACAGCAGTGTGGCGTGCTGGTAAGGAGCTCTGCATCCCTGATGCCTTATCCCGCTCTCCTGTCAGCCGCCCTACTCCAGAAGACCATGTGCTCAACGCCGACCTCGCTCTTTCCGTCAGGACTGTGGTCACCCTACACGCCATCCAATCCCTTCGTTTGGACCTGTCACCAGATGACGACAAGGCAATGGAGGACCTTCGAACAGCAGCCCGAGATGACCCTTCCTACGTGCGACTAGTCGAGTGTGTGAGGAATGGATTCCCTAGTAACCGCTACGACCTTCACAACACCCTGCTCCCGTATAGGAAACACCGCAATAAACTCTACTGCGACAACGACCTTGTTCTGTATGGAGCACGTGTAGTTGTCCCTGCTGCCTCACATCCCCATGTCTTGGCTCGCCTTCACGACAGTCACCGTGGAGCTGAGGCCACCAAACGGCGTATAAGACAGACTGTATTCTGGCCCGGCATCGACTCCGACATCTCCAATGCTGTCCATGCATGTGAGCCCTGCCAAGTACTACAACCCAGCCAGCAGCAGGAACCCTTCATGAGTGACGACAACCCCACCCGCCCCTTTGAGTCTGTGTCAGCCGACTTTTTCTGTGTGTCAGGAAAGTCCTTCCTTGTTATCGTCGACCATCTCTCTGGTTGGCCGGTTTTCATCAAGTGAGGTAATGATACGACGTCTGCCGCCACCACCATCAAGTTCCGCCACTACTTCCGTGACGTGGGCGTTCCTGTGCGCCTGCGAACCGACGTAGGACCCCAGTTCACAAGCCGGGACTTTGCTGTGTTCCTTGACCGATGGGGAGTCCGGCATGTGTTGTCATCGCCCCATTACCCGCAGTCCAACGGCCACGCTGAGGCTGCTGTCAGATCCCTGAACCACCACATCCTCAAAGTGGCCCCTTCTGGGAATATTGACTACGAGGCCTTCGACCGGGGTCTCCTTGAACTCCGCAACACACCCAATTACACCGGACGCTCCCCTGCCCAGGTCTTGTATGGATGCCCCCTTCGTTCTTGTGTCCCTGCTCACCCTCAGTCCTTCTCCAACGAGTGGCAGGCCAAGACAGAGGACTGTGATCGCCGAGCTGCCGAACGTGTTCATGATGTCGTCGCCCGCTACAACGACCATGCCCGTTCTCTCCCCAAGTTGAGTGTCGGCACCCAAGTCCGTGTTCAGGACCCGACCTCCCTACGTTGGGACAAAGTGGGCGTAGTCATGGGTCTCGGTAGGTCACGGGACTACCAGGTGCGGTTACTCAGTGGTTGCGTGTGGTGGAGGAACCGCCGTTTTCTCCGCCCTGTAACAATGCCTTCTGCTGACCCCGTCACCAGTGTTGAGTCCCATATCCTCCCCAGTGATCAAGTCCCTCGACACTCAGATCGGATACAAAAGTAAAGGTCCGCTCAAGACTTTGCTATGAGCGTATGGGGGGATGTATGTATATTGTGTATGTTATATGTATATTATGTATGTTGTATGTATATTATGTATGTATTCCATTTATACATACTACTTATTGAGCCTAGCCAGTAGCATGTGGCAATGCCTGTACCAGGTACCACACGCTTAGATAATTATAATTATCTAATGTGCCTGGCGACATCTGGAAGCTGCTAATGTATCACTTGCCACATGTCACCTGAGAGGTCAGTTGATCCATAGAGAGTGTAAGGGATGTATAGGCTCTTGTGTACCTCTGCAGATCCAGCAAATAGAACCTACAAAAAACTCTACAGGTGTTTGTGTTCGCTTCTGTAGTTAGAACTGAGTACCCAGAACATGTACAGTTATGAAAATCAAGATATTAAAGTAATGAGGATACATCAGATACAGAGTAAAGTACATAGTTAAGTTCCACATCAAAATATAAACACCCTGTACTGTACCCTCATGATGCACGCATAGTAAAGTGGGAGACTGAAAAGTAATAAAACAGATAGAGAAGTCCATGGATATACTTCTGGTAAGTCATTAAAGAAAATGAGATGTATATACCATTTTTCCCACTGACTCCCATTATATAATTGAGATGCATTCTCAAGGAAATTTTTTTGGGCCAAAAAACATAATAATTTGTACAAGTATGAATGAAAATAAACAGTTTTAAACACACACAATGATTCATTCATGATGTAACACGACAATAAAGGCACACTACACTTGAGTTTAACTCACCAGAATCGCTGTTGAGTGCTGCATGAGGTGGTGCAATCAGAGTTACTGGGATTTACCCCCTTAACACATCAAGTTTAATGTCCAACTTAATTCCTTTATGGAATCTTTTAGTACCACTGCTTTCACTTGAACTTGATGGCATTTTCCACTCATCTTGAATAAGGGTACACCGTAACACAGATGCAAAACTGATTACAAGCTGGAGAACGAATTCTAACGAGCAGCGTCATTGTTGTTGTGCTGGGTAGCAACCACCAAGAATCCACACGAAATAAATTTCAGTGAATTTCTTTGTTACACACCACGTCTTTTTAATTGACCCAAATTACGTACGAGCGAATTTTTTGACTGTACAGTACCTCCCAATTTTTTTTTCATAATTTCAAAATTCCATAAGGGTGAATTTCCATAACCCGAGTTACCATAATGCGGGGATGCCTGTACAGGAAAGGGAGAATGTGGAAATGGCGAGATAAAACAGATATGAGGCACTGTATACACACATAACTGTACTCTCATATTAGTTTGTCATTTTTATTACTGCTATCTTTATCATGAGACTTACTGTACTGCACCTGTTTCGTTCCTTGTATACTGTATTGACAGACAAACTAAGATAAAGGAGATTCCATATTTAATATAGAGTCTTTTAAAAATAAATAGAGGCATCACTGAAATGGCATACTGCCCTCAACAGACAGACGGATATCAGCTTCTAGCAATAGACTCATCAATACTACCCAATCATGCTATCAAATTCTTGCAAAAGTTGGAGAACATTGATATTTATGTTCAACTTCAAGATATTAGTTTTTAATATATATAAAAAACAAAATACACTTAAAAAATCACAAATCTACAAACCACCTTCAGTATCTTAGTTCACAGACTTTCATCACCTTAATTCAGGCTGTGGTTAGTTAAAGAGCCATACATAAAGTATTCAAAGAGGATGCTAAAAACTCACTTGGTATAACAATCTAATGCTTCAGTGAACTTGTCATCCCTCATGAGTTGGTTGCCTTCATTTTTTAGTTGTTCTGCCTCGGCTTTCTCCTCTGGGGTGGCTTCCTTTGGTGTCGTTTCCATTTTTTGTGCGGCTGAGCGTGTGACACTCTCAGGGATGGGCTGCAATGTTATACAATAGTTACCCATTTTATGGAAGCACAACTGCAAACACTTTCCTGAATATTCTTTTGAGAATCAAGCAAATGTTGGTGACAGTGATATAAAAGTAAACAAATGCAAGACTAATCCTGCAATCCCTTTGTATAACCAAGCATGGGATGAAAGTCTCATGCACTCCTCTAACAAGTCTATGGGTTGACACCTCAGGTTCCCTATTCGCTGGTTGTGGGGGTAACTGAACAGCTGTGAAGTTTCATAGGATGTTTGAAACAGGGCAGCTTCATCAAGATACAGTATAGTATACTGTATCTCATATGTCCAGAGAACTCTGGTTCCAAGTGTACAAGGTATGCTGATAGGACTGAAAACTTTAGGAAAGGAATGAACTACTGTATTACACTGTCATGAGAAACTGCCTAAATGACCTAAAAAGACAAGGATAAAGTCACCAAAGTTTACTCCAGACTTCTTGGGAAGGAAGCTCTGTATCTGGGTATTTAAAAAATCTAATTCAACACTCAACAAAAAGAGTATTATAGGCATCTAATTCAAACACCAGGTAGACGCTGTACTTACCTCTCCTATGGTGGCATCTGAAAATATCTGATAAAGGCTCTTGGACACTGCTAGGTCGCTCTGTGATAGTGACACACCATAGGCAGTTTCAAGGCACTGTACAGCAACCTCAACACTCTCAACACCCTCTTCTGTAAGGCCGCCTCCTCCTGCACCTCTTTCAAGCTGTGACTGCAGGAACTGTATCATCGAGTAAACGAGGCGGTTTACAACTTCCCTGGAAAAAAAACAAAAAAAAAAACGATTTAGACAAATAAAAGCAGTGGATATAAGAAACACTGAATGGGGGAATGATTCTGAGATATCTCTTATTTTTTAAGGTGGTATCTCCATTAATCAGAACAATGGGTGAAAAGCACTTCCGGGTAACGAGATGACTCTCTCAAAGCCGGGAAAAACTACCCCATCCCCGGAATTTTCCGAGTTTTCCGGTAAATGTGCCCCTCGGAAAATCGTTCCCAAAGTTGGAATTTTCCAGATTTGGGAATGATTTTCCAAGAAAATTTCAATTCCGGCTATTGGAAAGTTCCGGGTTTGAGGGATTCCAGCTAACGAAGATAATACTGACCAAGTCACAAAAATCACAAAATAGTACAGAGGTAATGGAATACAAGTCACAATTTTGGCTGGATAAACAAACAAACTTTCTTTAAATACCATTAAGAAGTAAAATGATAAAACCAAATGCACTTCATGGCCGTTGTTAATTGACAATATTGTACTGTACAAGACTTCCACAGAAACACAACAAAATATACTGTACAGTATCATGGCATTATAGGGACAGCCCCCACAGTAACCACTGGATCTTTTCTCACACTTCCAGCACAACTTGGTTTTGTGAGTGGCATGCTTGGTATTAGTATACATGAACTCACTGTACAATTTTTTTTAACTACAGTACGTTTATTACTGTCAATAAACTCCATGTCAGTACCCGGTAGGAGCAAATAATATTTATGGTTAAAATCTCATAATGCCCTAACACTAGGTACCATATACTTTGCTGGTTTACGCTATGTGTCACTGACCTTGTGATTTTTTGTTATTTCTGAATTAAGTGGGGTTTTTTTTTTGCTGACTCGATCAATTTTCACCGTAAAATACACGGTTTCACGCCCCCAACACCCCAAGAATCCCCTTTCCCACGAGTCTTCTTATTCAACCATCGTTCATTTGCCATGAATGGCTAAGTTCCTACTAATGCTATTTTACCATGAATGCGCTCTGATTGGCTAATTGTCCATTACTGGCAAACAAAACGGCAAAATATCCACTGCGTGAATTTTTTCTAGAGATGTTGTTTGGGCATGAAAATAGAAACAACAAACACTGTACAGATTAGGAAATTAGGTGTGGTTAGGTTCGGTTCTGTGCATTGCCATTTTGATTTGATTAGCCAATCAGAGTGCACTCATGGTAAAATAGGGGGTAAAATAGCAGATTACAGCAACCTAACCTAACTTCTTTGGTTGTTGTTTACTGCAATATTATCAAATAGTGTTAGCAGGAACTTTGTCAGTCACGGCAAAATATCAACTGCCTATAAAAAAAAAGTTGTTCAGAATTTCAAGAGCTCTCGAATGCTGTATTTTCATCAAAAAATGCTGTAGTTTGTCGAAACTACAAATTGACCTGTTCTCATTTTGAAGTTGTGTGTTGGTCCTAACATGAATCTCGACCTAGCAGTACCTTACCACCTTCACTGGTGAAATGCAGTTATAACATTATACAACAACAACCAACAACTGTTTGCATTTCATTTTGATTTTTTTTTCTTATACCGTTGCAGCTTTATCCCGACATCACTAGGTTTGAATGACTGGCTATATTTATTGGGGGTAACCACTAACAACTACCACCTAAGAACTTATAATTTTAATGGACTTTTCTGTTGTCATTAGAAACATACAATTTTCGTTTTAATGCAGCTAGCAATATTTCAGGACATATATCACATACTTTTATAAAATATATGAGCTTCTCTTGAACTATTAACAGTCTACAATTAACTAAGTGCAAGAGAACTGACTTAACCTGACCGCTACTAGAGGCACAAGTCAGACCAGTGACAGATCAAGTGTTCCACGTGTTACACTGTGACCAGCGGCCCAAACACCACAACACTACTGTTCTGACACTACATCTGTGAAACAAGTTAAAGGAGAGGCGGAGGTTAAGGTAGAAAGAGAAGACAGTAAAGGCGGCATACTTCTCCATGATGGTGTGTTATTGATGGTCACAGGTCGCCCTCACTGCCTCTACCAACACAAGTTCCAATAATGTTTTTGTTTCTCTCCACCAGCAAACATCTCAATAAATATAACAAATATTGACAAATAAGTGTGATTTATTTAAGAAAACATTTATAAACCTACAAAATGTAAAAAAATATAAGTAAATATTATTAAATTTACACTACAACTATTTTTACAAGTTCTATGATTGTTATTGAAATCCTATATATAAAATATAATCACAACTTTCACAAAGTCTTAGTAAAATATACTGCCACATCTTATCTTAATAAATAAGAAAATTTAAATTCATATTGAATGTCTGTCATAGAAATAGCAAAATTATGATAATCTTAAATATTTATATACTAAACCCCTTTTATATCTGATTATTTTAGATGTAAACAAAAACATTATTTTCACTTGTATGTTTATAATACTTCCATTTTGTATACGCTAAATTATTTTACTAGAAATGAACGCTAAAATATAATATATAATATATATTTCAATAAAACTGGATATAATAAACAGGTGGTGTATAATAATTCAGTAACATTAGACGCATCACTCCCCTGTTAAGACAACCTCCACCACCGTCCACCTGCCTCATCTTCAAACGTTTGTGGCAGTAATGTGACCAAAGATATTCTGTCGTGCACTGTTTGTCAGACACTTAAGACAATGGAGGACTGTCTGCCTATAGTGGAAGTAAACGATGACAACTTTATCAAGTTATTGCCGGCTCTGAGAGCTGCTATAAGAGGTGCATCTTTTGTGGCCATAGATTGTGTGAGTCACTTATGTTAAGCTGTGTGTCTTTTAGGCCTTGATGATAATAAACTTGTACAATCTGCAGCACAGTGTCTCCGTCATGGTGGCTGTCTTACCATACATATATTAAATGGGAAACAAATGATCCTACCCGATTTATTTAATCTTATCTAATTTACCTGAAATTTACTCACAGAAGACTTCTGGAAGAGGCTTTTGAGCCTGTGACTCCAGCTGTAAACTATCCCTTATACTTGTGTAGTAGGGACTATTATATTGAATTTGAGTTTTATGATCAAACTTTATGCTTGGTGGCCCATACTTTATCCAGTTGTTTTTTCAAACCTTAAAACTGAGTCAGCATTCACTACTCAGTCTGGCAGATTATTCCACATGTTAGTTACTCTGTTGCATAAAGTATATGGTATTATTGTATTTCCACACCCGACATTCCTTCCCCTAATCTATTATCATATTCGAATAAGATAAAGTTCTTTTAATATTCGAGCAGGATAGGACTCGTAGCAACGGATTTAAGTTGGATAAGTTTAGGTTTAGGAGGGAGATAGGATGGAACTGGTTCACATATAGGGTGGTGGACGAGTGGAACAAGCTTATCAACTTTGTAGTAAGTGCTGGAACGCTGGAAAGTTTTAAAAGGAGGCTCGATAGATTCATGGATGATAGAGAGTGGTAGTAACTCGACAGGAGCTGCCATGCACAGGCCAACCGGCCTATTGCAGACTCCGTATTTTCTTATGTTATGTTAAGATAATTTTCATCTATTACATTACCGTCGAAAATGTATAATAACGGAGATAGCGCATCCAAAATTTTCTAAATTTAATTCCATTATCGCCTTCCTCACCTCCCACAATGCGTGTCTCCTTCATGAATCATCACGCGCATGCGTTCCCGTACACGTCACGCGGCCAATCAAAAGCTTTTCTTTTTTTTCTTTTGCAACTCATTAAAATGATTTGTGGTTTAATTCGCAGTATTTTTGGCCCAATCAAATTCGATTTTTATTTTGGGTCTCATATTTCAAAATTCAAATTCATTTACGACCATGGAAGTCTGCAATTGGTGTCACTTAAATTATATGGAGCTGATTGCGAGTTTTTGGGAAAAACCACAGCATTTTTTTCGATCTCATGGTGTTTTCCCGACCTCAGTAAAGTGTTCTAGTGCAAGAATGAATGTAAATATCGTCAAGACCAACATATGTGGCATTGTGGTAACTCGTCCAATAAGGCTAGAAAAAGTGATTCCATCATATGGTGAGAGTCAGTCAGGTTAGGTTAGGTTAGGTTAGGTCAGGTTTATGTTTTTTTTAGTGATTTACTACTTTTTAAATTTTGCATTACCCTCTTAATTTGTGCCAGGTTTATCTCCATGTCCGATAGTACCGGTACAAGCTTTATGTCTATTCTGGGGATATCTTCCTCTGCCTCATGTGTGAACAGACTACTAAAAAATTCTGCCAACACCTCCACTTATTATTATTATTATTATTACATTTTCTCCCCCCAGGCCCCGATGTGAGTCAGTGACCTGTGCCCGGGTGGGCTAGTCCCCATAAAAAAAAAAAAAAAAAAAAAAACCTTTCTCTATCATCTTTAATTTTCGTCCATTTATCGTCATCAACATACAACTCCAGTACTGATGATATGGTTTTGGTTTTAGATTGTACAAACTCCCAGAATACTTTTATATTGCTCTTTACATTCTGTGTAATGCTTCTTTTGTGGTTTTTTTATCTCATTTCTTGTCACTTTTCTTATCTGATTGTTTGATCTTCTGTGCTCAATTTGGAGTTCATTATATTCACTATCACCACAAGTGCAATTTCTCTCACTTTTCTTCTTCATTTTCACCCACAGTTTTTGTTTTATCTTAATCTCAGACCCAGATAATTTAATATATCTCGGCATTTCCCCAGTTAAATGAATACATTCCCAGACCATATTCATGCCGAGTTATATGAACTTCCGTGTTATTGAGGGTTTACTGTATATGAGGTAATTCTTTACAGTGGTTAGGCCCCTTAATCAGCAACTTGGGAAATTTTTCTGTAGGAGACAATAAATAGTACAGTACAGGGAGGTATTGTATAGTTCTGTGTACGTATAGAAATTATCACTATCTTGTGCCTACAGTATTCCTGTCTAATGTGATATCATATGTACAGTATCTATATGGATTACCAGTTATTCTTTGTTTTATGGTTTACATCTCAGTCTTTCAAACCATGTGTTTTTATTCAATACTGTTAGGTGAAATTTAGAGCTAGATTACTAATTTCATGATGTGTCAGGTGAAATTTGGAGCTAGATTACTAATTTCATAATGACCTGAATCTTTATTACCTTCTCCAGGAACTGACTGGAATTGGTGACCAAAGAAAGTTAAATTGTCCAGAGATTGATCTACGGTACCAGTTTACTTCAGAAATTGCTCGGAATTATGCAGTCATTTCACTTGGGTTGTCGTGCTTCACCTGTAGATCAGTTAGTGATGTGCACATGACTGATAAGGAAGGTGTGTATCTGTTAGTCATCATTCTATATTGATATCCTTATTTCTGTCTTTGTATCAGTTTATTCTGTAAACATAACTGCTTTCCTCCTTTATATTTGATACCCAAGTTTTCTGTGATCAGTACAAATGAGTATTTATAGATTCCTTTACGTTAAAGAAACACATAATGCACGTATTTCTGTACCTGGATCATGAAGCTGTAGTCACCTTATGGCAGGCAACACTCTTCTTTGGTAAGGAGAGAACGGTAGGATGGGAAATTCACTATAGCCTTGCTGAATCATTAAGTACATCAACTTAGGTTCGACTCAAGCAGGCATTTGATAGTTGACCTTTATATCTCAATATCCCTCCTCCTCCCATTTAGGCATTGGGGTGAGCTGGTTCTGTTGAGTAGATCTTGGTGATGTCATCTTTTAAGTGACATTTAAACAAAAGCTGATTAATACAAAGGTGTTGATGGTTAACAAGAAGAGCTCTCGATCCACCTCCCTGTTTAGGATGCCTTCTTGCTAATTGTCTTGTCTTTGGAATCTGGTGTGAATGTGAAAGATTATCCAAATTGAATTTTTGATTCCAGTCACAAGATGGGGCCCAGGGGTCAGAATACACTCAGTTATAGAATAGATGTCATTCATGATACCAGGTGTTCATTTTTTTCTTTTCATATACAAGTAGGTAACAGTTTACTTTCCAGTGAAGTATTTTTTATTTTGTTGAACACCGTTTATATTTTTATTTAATATTTTTTATTCATTTTTATTAATTATTGTTATTATTATATTTTGCCCCCAGGCCCTGATGAGGGTCATTGATCTGTGCCCTGGTGGGCTAATCCTAAAAAAAAGAAAAAGAAAAAAATCTTTGTTTTCTGAAAGACTTTAGGAAGATTTTACGATTTACAATATTTCTTGTTTTCAGGTGGTGAGCAGATCCGCAGTCATGATTACCTGGTACAAACCTTTAATGTGCTGACACTATGTAGTGAAAGCTTCAGAGTTGATTGTGGTGCGATTAAGTTTTTGCTGAACCATGGCTTTGACTTCAACAATGTGTATGCCAAGGGGTTACAGTACTACAGAGGATGTGATCAAAATGTGAGTACAATAATGTTAGAGATCCATACCATTTATTTTGTCAAATTTATAGAAAAATTAAGGTTTACACATTGTATTCTTTAATGAAGCATTAGAAAGCATTACCATGTTTTCAAAGAAGGTTTTAATGGAAATAATTACTTTTGATTGTTCTTTTACTAATATTTGATATGAATACTCTTCAGACAGATTATAAACAATGTCATCTATGACCTACTAGACATTAAAAGAGTAATTCATGTTAGTGGAGAATCATTTGGCCAAGTCTTCCTGTGTCAGTGGCAGGATACAGCAAACCCTCGATGTAATTTTCATTATCTTTGTTATATCTATGCAATGTGTCTCATCCTGTTCGACTAAAAGTTCATTTGAAAGTTCTTTTCTTTTTAAAGATGGGGAGGCAGACTAGGTGTTACTAATACAGTACTGTATACTGAAACAGTCACCTGAAAATTTGGGACCAAGTTGAATTAATTACTGCACATCCATTTACATAGCTCCTATTATCACATTTATCCTATTTTTTTATTTTGCCTTCTTCATTACCCATGCTAATTATGTCACTTTTTTCTTTACATCACATCTAGAGTAAAATTCTGTAACCATACAGTATTTTTATTAATGTCCATCTTCCTTTCTTTAAATTGCTTTGTATGTAATGTTTATTAATAATAATGGTGTTGCTCTTATCATCCACAGAAAGATGAGCCACCAAATGTTCGACAGCTGTTCTCAACACTTTTGGAACATCGAAAGCCAGTGGTATTACACAATGGCTTAATGGACTTGGCATTTCTTTATCAGTGTTTCTATGCAGAACTTCCCAAGAAGGCAGACACATTTGCTGCTGACCTTACTGACATGTTTCCGTGTGGAATCTATGATACAAAGTATATTGCCGAGTACCACCAGTCCATGCCAGCTACTTACTTGGAGTATTTGTACAAAAAAATGTAAGTACATACTGTACATTACATCACATAGGTTTTCAGGAATGTAATCCTTGTGATGAATGGGGAATACCTGTACACTAAAATACAGTTGCAGCCAAAAGTAATCATTGACTCCACCCTTGCACCCAACCCAACCCGACTCCTGGGGGCGTGCGATTTTAATTTTTACCGGGACCCAAATTCGTATAAGTGGGGGGAGGTATCGTAACACTTAAAGAGGTGGTAATATAGGAAATTCGTATTAGCGAATTTTCAGATCTCGAATGTTCGTATAGCGAGGGATACCTGTACTGTACAGTACAGTATAGTAAAGGCAGTGAAAAATTTATTTAACAGAAATTACAGGTCTCTAAACCTGGTAGATTAGCAAATGAAAAGTTGTAGAAAGAGTGATGAAAAATAGTTATAATGGAGATGCTAGACATTAATGAATGCAGTTTGGGCTTATGCCAGGTAGGAGGACTACAGAGGCAATATTTAGTGGGGTATCTCAAGAGAAATATCTTGGAAAGGAAAGAAAGCTATACTGTACTTTGTATTTGTATACTTAAAGAAGGCCTTTTGACAAGGTACCACTATAGGTGGAAGTTAGGGTTCATGAAGGGTCTATCTTGAGCCCCTTCTGTCTATCATGGTGACTCTAGGACTGGTCTACCCTGAGAGTTGTTGGATACTGGTGACAGCAGATAGTAGTGAAGAGGCCGTGAGAAATTTAAGAAATGGAAGGATAAAAGAGTCAAAGGGCCTGAGAATGAATGTGGCAAAGTGGTGTGGATGGAGGGACTCGTGGTGGAAAATAGCCATGTGTTGTTTTTAAGAAAGGTGTTGGCAGCAACTCAATAATGTGCAGTGAGGGAAGAAAGTTTTAAGTACAGTTTACAGTATAATGAGGATACTTGTACTTTTAAGTACTGTATATAATGAGCATAAATTTAAGTACAGTATTTTGTTTTAAATACAATATGAAATCTAATTCCTTTGTGCGGTGAATCTGCGTCAGTAGTCACTTACCCAAACTTCTACCCCCCCCATATAATCTGGTGTTAAGTTGGTAACCCTCATCTTGGCAGTCCTTTTGAAATGTTGACAGACTAGAGGTGGGTAAATACAAAGTTTTTGCTTAATATCATGAATACCCAAGATAAAATAATGATAATTATAATTTATTGTAACATGATCTTGCAGAAAGTAATAACAACAACATGCTATGAAATTCATCTCATTGGATGTCGACTACTGTATATGTACAACTTCATGATGTAATTTTCAGAGATTGTTAACTGATAGTAAACATAATGGGAGTAGTACAGTAGACAGAGAGAGAGATTAGATGAAATGGGAACCCACCAGTCTCATTGTTGTTGTGTACCTGTGAGTTGGGCAGTGACTATTGTCCACCTTGTTTACAGGTTACACTCAAGCCTTTGTCTGGTTTATAAGTTTGTCTCTGGGAGTATCTTTGTTAGTCTTGTGTGTTTATTATCTTGTTGCCTTTGCCTCCTACTAACTACTTGCTTGCTATTTTCAAGTGGCAGAATCTGTCTTTATATTTGTAAGTGAGTGAACTTGCAGCCAGCTAGCCAGTCTGTCTGTCTGTCTGTCTGTATTGCCATGGTTTTGAATTTCCATCTTAAGTATAAATCTGTAACCTTGTTTTCACCAACCAGGAAATGTGCTTTTTGTCTTGAGAGAGGCTTGTTTCTACCAAAATATGTGATCGCTGCAACACTAAAACACAACGTGGTGGTGAAAATTATTGACATATAAGTACAGTATTTCTATTTATATGATAGAAAACACAACAGTCAGATTCTCAAGTGCATTAAACATTAATTATGCACCTCCCGGCAACCTGTGACTTAGCTGGTGCATTCACATTCACATGCGTGACTTGGGTATGGTGTGGGCAATGTGTTGTCTGTGTAGGGCAGGGGCAGGATAGTCATCAACATATAATTACTCTACCTCAGCCTGGTGACCCCACACTTCCATGCCACCCTAACTCACCTCACTTACTGTATCTCAAGTCTTATTCTATAACACACACACACACACATCTCTAGGGGAAGTAGGAGGGGGGGGGGCCTTAAACAGCTATGGTTACCACGTATGCAGGGGTCTCTTTGAGCTCAATTAAAGTATCTGTCATTAGCCAAATAAAATATTAAAATAGTGGCATCCCCATAGTGAAAGGGTTAAGTAGACTGGCCATACCCCTAGCATTGTTTTATACCTCTTAACAATAGAAAACTAAGTCATACTCATTCTCTTAAGTTTGGGTCAATTGTCACCTGGCCTTGGTCTGGTAAAACACACACAAGCGGAATATTTCCAGTTTAACTTCCATGTTGATTGTTGTCACACAGTAGAGATAGGTACTGCATGCTGTAGTGTATACAGTATTCCTTATCCCACCAAAGTTTGGACTCTGTGATCCCCTTCAAATAATCATTTATGATATGGTATCATTTTCAGATCTTAAGTCCCTTCACAGCTTTCCCTTTACCAATCTCTTTTATGAGCACTTGTGTTTGCTACACTGGTCAGCCATCCCACCTCTATGGCTACTCCCTTGAGCATCTGTCCATATTAATGTACTGTAATTAGTTGGCTCCTTGTATAATCCTTATTTGGGTAATACTGTAGTTTGTGTATTCTTTCCTTAATAATGTGTATGTTGCACTTATATATGTAAACACTAAAGTGTGAGTTGATAGCATTGATTTTCTTTTTAACAGGCAGCTAAAAAACACTCAGCGAGGGAATAAAGGGGAATGGCATACACGGATACAGTTTCCTCCTTACCCAAAAGGTCTTCCAAATATTGACTGGCAGCCATACCGACAGATCCATTACTACAATGCAGAGAAGGATGATGATGGCTGTGAACTCTGTGAGACATATGCAGTAAGTCCTGCTTTATACTGTGCAGTGTGGCTGTTTTTTTATTGTAACCTCATTATTATAACATCAGATTGCAGCAGAACAGAGGTTACCGGATATTTCTAGGCCCTTATGAACTGTCCACCACATGGGATCGTGTGATTGTTGCTGAATTCATATCAGAGCTTGCTCAATACAATTATAAGTCACGCAGGGGCAGATATCAAAAGGGGGGGGGGTCCAAGGAGTTGTGGGTGGGGGAACATGGTGTGCACAGCGAGCTCATCCAGCTGGGGGGAGGGGATGCTGTAAACCTCCCCTGGATTTTTTTTTAAATCTGACCAATATTGGCCATTTTCAGGCCATGTGCACTTGATACCAGGAGATATTCTGAGGTCAGTAGTAATTACTTTTTATTATTAAAAATGCCCGAGTATAATACTATATTAAAGAAAAAGTATTGAAATTTTCTGATGAAAAAAGAGAGAGAGAGGGGGAGGGGCGGGGCGGTCCAGGCCCCTCCTCTGGATCCGCTCCTACCAGGTATGCATACTCTTATCTTTCTCCAGTAATAATTTACCAATCTTAGCCTTCAAGAGGATGTAAAGGTCCCATACAGTACATAATAGCTAGCCCAGCCTGTGTTAGGAAAGTCCAAAGGATACTTGAGCTAAGTACACAGACTCCAAATTACTTTAAAAAAAAAAAATCCATAATATGATATTTGTTGCAGTTGTTGGGTTAATTAAGTCTTTGTTCAGTTTTGAATCCTGAGAGCATAAGGGAAAGTGTCTGCAAGGGATACTTTGATTTATGCCCATGAATGGTAAATGTATGAAATAGTATTTTTTTTCCTCTCTCACTTGGAGACTGCAGTTCTGTACTTACCATTAAGTGCATTCTTTTTAATCCATAATTTTATTTTCAGTTCCATGGCTGGTGTTCAAAGAATGTTAAGTGTGATAAGAGTCACAATATTAACAAGATTGTGAAGCTCTTGCAGCCCAAAGCATTAAAGAAACGTGGCGGCAAATACACCGGTCCTAAGACAGGGTCACTTGTTAGTATTATCCAACAGGTAGCCAAGAGAGAAATCTTAGAGACAAGAGAGATGGATGATGAAGTTTCAATAAAAAAGCGGAGGCTCTCCAATGAATTGACGAGAAACAAATTAGAAAAAAGAAACATGATACCAGTGGTAAATGATGACAGTGGCCAAAAGATGAATGAGAAACATGGTGCTAATGGACATAGGGCTGGCTATGATGCCTTCATGACAGGGTTTATATTTGCAACTCATGTCTCAGAAGGTAATAAATTAACAGCTAAAAATCTAACCTTTACACCAGAGAATATTGGCTTGTCTGAACAGGTGAACAAGGTGTATCTAATGGGGAAGAACATTCCCTTTCTCGTAAGAACTGGTACATATGCCAACATGTCTACAAATCATATGTTAAAAATTCCCAAAGTAAGGAGAGACAATGTAATATAATGGGAAACTCTAGATATGAGCTATACAGTGAGTTCTGCTATAACGTGTGTTTTGACAATGCGCATTGGCTTTAATGCGATTTATGAATAGAGAAACGATATTTGTATAACACGAATGCTTGTTTGCTGTAACGCGATTTTTGCTTACTATTTCTCCAATTTTGTGGTATTAACTGTGAATATGGTAAAGAAGAATATCTCCAAGAAGCGTTCTGGTGATCGCATTCCTGGTGATGATCGTAAAAGAAAGGCTATAACCCTTGAAGAGAAGCTCGATGTTATCTACCTCAAAATCACCCTTCTCCTCCATCAAGTTATATTCATATTTTTTCAAGGTAAAGTGTTACATTTACTGTATGATTTCATTATTAGATATGAATGTAACATTTATTTAGACTGTGCTATCCTTTGTGTTAGGCTAAGTACTAAATTTTTTTTCGATTTCGAGTAATAATCTGCACCTAACCCTATTTTCTCCATAAGCCCTGTTATTTCTATTACGCGATGTTTTACAAGAACACAACTATCGCGTTATAGCAGAACTGACTGTATAGATTCCTCCTTAGTCTATTTCTGTATTCAATAGGAGATTATGTTCACTATGAGACTGTCCTCAATTTTATTTCTGTATTCAAAATGATTATTCATATCCAAATGCATTCAAGTATAGTATAGTACAGTATGTTCAGTTATTTGTATTGAAATACATTGATATAAAAATTAAAGTACAGTATTTGAATACTATGACCAAGTAATCGTACTCTCAATAACCTGATGAACGTCCAATATTCTATCAATAGAAATCAGCTTGGTACATTTATGTTGTGTTACCTATTAGTTCCACAACAATTTACAGTAGCTACATAAAAAAAAAGCCTTTCCTTGGTTATATACAGGGGGTCCCTGACCTACGAACGCCCGCCGATACAAACGGGGTTAAACTTGAAATGTAAAGTATTTTAATTACCTGATAACTTATTTTTTACTTTCATTTACTGTTCGCACCTGTACACACACGTACTGTTACAAGTGCTCTTCTATTTATGAACAAACATGTCCATGGTAAGATAAACTGTAATGTGCTGTATTTATTATTGGGGTATAGCAGCTATAGCTGTACAGTTCAGTTGCTTCCGTTTATAACGGGTACAGTAGCTGGCAAGTTTGTCAGATGTGGCACCACTGTTTTCTTGAATCATAGTAAAACTAGAAGAATGGGCAGAACTACCCTCACCATAGTAACCAGACCAAGGATGCTAAATAAGCAGTCCCCCTCTATCTGTGAATGCACACATTTCCTGCAGGGTTATACAGTAGTTTTAATACAGATTACCAAGTAGAACATTTTTGGCTCTTATCTGTTGTCTGGTGGTGCCACATCTCACAAAAAACGCCCAGCCAATGTACCCATTATAAATGGAAGCAACTGTACGTCCTTTAAATTGTCATTTTTTATAATACCTGTATGTTCAGTATCTACAAGAGCAGAGTTGTAAAGTACAGTGGTCCCTCCATTAACGAGCCAAATTGGTTCCACAGTGTCACTCGTTAACTGAATCTATTATTTCAATGGAATATTGAGTAATTGGTTCCAACTCACAGAATTCCCTTAAAATTAATTAAAGAGTACATATACAGTATTGTATACCAGTAAGAGAATTAACAAAATATAAAATATAAACAAAATACAGTACTGTACAGTATGCTGTACAATAATAAATAAAAAACAATAAAATATTTTAACACTAAATTTGAGGTGTGTATGTAGAATTACCAGCAGCTTTGTTTACATAGTGGCAGCGCAAACAGCTGATTCTAGACACAGTCGATGACGACATGCCATATTCTTTACAGAGTGCATTGGTTCTAATGCCTTCTTTGTATTTCTTAATAATTTCTCGTTTCACTTGAATTGAAATAGCCTTCTGAGATTTCTTCGAACCCATGCTTGATAATTTCACCAATAAAATTTTAAGTTCACAACAATTTACAGTGTTTAACTAATTCCAGATTTTTTTTATTTAGACCAACACTGCACTGTATATTATAAATAGGTTCACTAAATTTCAGAATGACCAATAATTTTAATGTAAAAATGCAAAGATATTTAAGAGCACAACTTTCTCGATGTTTACTCCACTGGTAACGAAGGTAAACATAGAACCTATATTGGCGGACGAGTCGATCAGCTGATGTGCGCACCAAAACGTGTTTCTCGTAACGCTGTCGTTAATAGAATTTGTACTCATTAATAGAACTGAAAATCCTTACGGGAGGTAACTTGTTAACTGAAATCTGGTAAATTGAACTGCTTGTTAATGGAGGGTCCACTGTACATGTAATGAAATAATCTTACTTAAGTAGTGTACTCAAGTAACATTTTTGGGTATCTACTTTTTAAAAAGTACTAAAAGTTTTTAGTACTTTTATATAAGTATGGTTTTCTAATACTTTTACTCCAATACAATTGAAAAAACAAAAATCATTACTTGTTACATGCCCCAAACAAAGAGGTTTAACGTCTGTGGCAAACTAATATATTTTATAATTAATTAATTATTAACCATTGTAAAAGAGTTGTGTGGGTGGAAAGTATATTGTGAGTGGAGCCGTGAAGGGTACATAGCGGTGTGGGGAGACACCACGTGGGTCAGGTGGCCTTTGATCTTCTTGGGTCCATTAACACCTGACCACCTACCTCACCTAGCTTACCCTCTTCTCCCCCACCTTTCTCTTAGATGTCAGTTGCTCTTTGCAGATCGCTGTACCTAAAATGAATTTTAAAGAGGCTTTTAGATGGAATTATGTAAAGCAATTCAGTATCTATACATATGTGTGAGACTGGGTGTATTTAAAATTCTGCTTAAATAACTAGGTATCCCCCCAGCACCCATCAGATGTTACGTGGTGCGAAAAATTCAGCCACTCGTCAATTAGAATCGAAGAGTGACGACGCCACACCACAATTAGAGGGACACTTCACAGGGCGTCTTTGTTAGACTCAGTCACTATGGAGACAATAATCATCCACAAACTCCTCAACTGAAGGAGCTTGATAGCTACTTGGCATGCCTAGGGGATGGAATGGAGCTACTGAGGTCTTTCCCAACATTATGCGACTTATCTCTGAAGCATAACACCCCACTACCTGCATGCTGGGCTTTTTATTTATTATTTAATTCCAGTAATTTATTACACCCCAGGGGACGACAAGCCTAGTCACAAGACCATGCGGTCAAACATTATTAATATAGTGGTACTCGTGTCTTGCAGGACACGTTATGACTTGTGATATGGAGACAATATTGATATGATTTAAGGACAATGGGAGTTAGCACCCACCAAAGCGTGGGTAGCATACAAAAATTAAAATAAATGATTAAGAATAAGTAGGTGGTAACTTAGGAGTTGGTGACTCTCCCTGTGGTAGAAAGTCCCCAACAGTGGGACAATCAAGGCAATACAGTATTGTTGAATAGTGTTCACATTGGGACAGTTACAGGAAGAGAAGTGCTGGTCATCTCCCACCTCGGATAGGTCTATCCTCACCTAATGCGAGCAGAGACAACATTATTTCTGCGGACAATAAGTCAGCATCGACGTTACTTGTGTGGATAAGGAAAACAGTGATCATAGTGTTGGACGGATATATTTTCAGCACGTCCACTATCTCTGCAATGGATTGTAGGGAGAAGAGTGGCTGAATGTATTCTCTTTCAGTAGGTCATGCTGGGCCTGTATTTAGGCCTAAAAGATCCTGAATGGACAGTTATTATTTTAAGAATTAGTTATTGATTAATCTTAATAGACAGATTTGCAAATAAACTTGTGTAATGCTGTGTGTCTTTATTTTTATCTTTAGTTTACTATTTTTTTGTGTTTTTTTAATATAGTGGATTTATTTTAATATTTGAGACAATTTTATTGTTACTTTTTTCTTTCAGTACTGTACTGGAGTATTTTAAGAATGGGATACTTGTTTACTTCTACTTGAGTACATTGACATGTATACTTTTACTTCTACTTGAGTAACGTTTTGCCAATGTAACAATACTTTTACTTAAGTAACAAAGTCCAGTACTTTTTAAAACTCTGTACACCCCCCCCCCCCAACAAATTTGCCGAGTTTTAATTCGCAAATGACATCCTGGATGTACCAAGAATGTCTGTGGGTAGTTTTAAAGTTGCCGGCATTTAGCGGCTGGGACAGGGAGCCATAAGTTCTAGAGACAGTAATATCCTTTACCTGTATTGTAAATATGTGTGTGTGTGTGTGTACACACACACATACAAATAAAAAATACAGTACCCTGTAATTGGAAAATCCTCTCTTAAATAATCAGAAACAAATTGATTAAAAATGTGAATCTACCCTCAAGTCCGTGCTCTATTAATAAAGTACTGTAATAGAAAACGGACTTGAGGGTAGACTGTTACAATTTTGATATACAGTAATACCCCGCTTTACGCGGTTTCACTTAACGCGATTTCGCATTTACACGGTACCTCGCCAGAACCGGACTTTCGCTTTCCGCGGTGCATCTATTCATATACGCGGGAAGCGGCGCGGGCAGGATGCGCACAAGGTCGCCCAGTCATCAAAACATTACCAAGTTCTTCACCTGCCACCCACCACAGCCGGCCCAAGTCAGTGATAGTGATAGTGAGGATATGGACTTTGAGGGGTTTGACAAAGAGGCCTTGCAAGCCTATGTGGTGGATAGTGATACAATTGATACAGGTGAGGGCCAATTATCTGCCCTCTGCCTCGGAACCAACCCCCCACCCCTGTGTGCCCAGCCATCTTTTCTACTAATGTAAGTGTTAAAAAAACTAATATTATTGATATTTCTCTTAATTATTAATTGTGTGTGCATACCATCATAAAATTAAGATGTAATTTTTACTACAACGTAGGTATTGTGTCTGAAAAAGTGGAGTTTGGGGGTCGGGCCAGTCTCTATTGGAATTAATCCCATATGTTCTGTTGTTCACTTTACGCGGTTTTCACTTTCCTCGGTACCCCATGGGTTCAATTGACCGCGTAAATCGGGGTACTACTGTATTTGTTTCTGATTATTTGTGAGAATATTTTCCCATTATTATTTGTATGTATTTTGAGAACCTAACCCCTGTGAATTTGGGGGGGGGGCCCCTGTACAAGAGTAAAGTTGGACTTACTAAGTTTCAACAACATAACTCATTCGTAAGTAGAGGAGAACCTGTTACTGTACTTAGAACCAAGAGAATAAAAGATTCACAGTGTTGGAGAATCCTGAGTGGGTGGGGTGTATGGTAGGCCAAACTAACTATTCCTTCTGACACCTGCTGCTGTACAGTATTCCCAAATTTGCAAAGATTTTGGTGGTTGCAAAAGGTAAAAGTAAAATCTAGATTAAATTACAATACAGCATATTAAGGCATACTTAAAGAAGTGAGTAGTTAATTCTGCTCAGTTCATTGCCATTCTTATTATATTTCTCCAGTATGTTATATATAACTTATCATAAGTGCATTGTATTAGTGTACAGTAGAGCCTCGATAAATCTGACTAATTGGGGCAGACCTCAATCCGAAAAATGAGAGTATATGGGGGGGTGGGGTGGATATAACACTGCTTATCCAAACTGTTTAAAGAAAATCAGTTACGTTATTAGTGCACTTCAACAACTAAGGTGTTTAATTAAAGTTATTAAAAGAATATTACATCAACAATAATAAAAATATATGAAACAGAACTCTCTGGGTTGAAAATCACACCAAGTCTAGTTGTCAACAACTGTTTTCACCAAGATGATTATTTACTGGAAAGCAGTGGTGGCTCGTGCCTAGGAGCTGCAGTCCTCCCAGACAATCACTCCCAGGCGTATGATTCCTTCAAACACACAGCAGAATAATACACTACTAACAAATATATCTAAATAAAAAGTCACTACGTATGTTATTTTCAGTACGTTACTAAGTAAATTTTCATTAAAACCAGACCAAAATCTAAGTTACTTTCATAGTTGCTGTATGATTCATGTCTGTTATTAATTGGCGCTACATCTGGAACCAATGAGCTGCAGTTGGTGCAGCTCAGTCTCGTGTTTACATTGCATGGGGACGGTGCGGTTAAGTTGTGCTTTCTTTAATTACCCTTTGATGATGGAAAATCAAGTGAAGTATTTGCAAAGCATCAACTTTTCCCAGCTGATATTAAATGAAAAGACTAAAATCAAAGCAAGAGGAAGACCTACACCAGTTTTATCCATTCAACAGAATAGTACAAACAGGAACAAAGAATATACACGCCAGTTTAACATCAGTGTTTATCAGAAATGTGAATGGCTCTGTGATTGTGACGAGGTAAATGCTTTATTCTGCTTTCCATGCTTATTGTTTGGTGGGGGACACTTCAGTGACGAAAAGTGGCGTGACTGACTTGAGGCATTTGCCACAGAAAATAATGAAACATGAACAGTCAGCCAAACACATGAATAACATGATTGATTTTATCGTTGCTGGGTAAAGTGAACATCGCAGCTCAAATTGACACAGCATACAAGCTCTCAGTTGCAAAACACAATGAACAGGTGAGAAAAAAACAGATGTGTTATCCAAAATAATAAACTTTGTAAAATTTTTGGGGAAATTTGAACTCCCTCTTAGTGGACATGATGAAACTATGAGCTCCAAGAATTCTGAAGTATTTCTTGGATTAGTTGATTTTGCCTGTGAAGTGGATTGAGAACTGAACTTACTGTACTGTACACAAGAAGATTTGTGTAAATCAGAAAGTCTCATAGACTTGTTGAAGATGATGAACGACAATCATCTACAGTCAACATTTTCAGACACTGTCAAGTTGCTGAAAATTTTAATAATAACTCCAATGACAACAGCAGAAGTAGAAAGGCGCTTTTCAACTTGGAAGGGAATTAAAACTTTTTTGCACAGTACCATGGTGATTGACAGACTGTCTGCTTTAGCAATGATATCCACTGAAAATCAAATGATAACAGAAATGAAAGACCTTAATGAAAAAGTAATAAACCATTTTGCTATATCGAACAGCCGACGCATCGATTTTATTTTCAAGTACCTGTACTGTAATACTACCATCACTATCTCAGCCATCCCTACCACCACCACCACCACCACCATCACTACTTCAATGCCCTGGAAATCCATGGACATCAACTCATACCTGAGGGAGATCAAATTTGTGTACCCTACTGTTGTGTGAAGCTTGCAGTCCCTCCATTTTATTTTACCACGAGCCGCCACTGCTGTAAAGTGTTATAGGTAAGCAACCACAGAAATTGTCTTATGAATAAAGAGAAAACTGTAAAGTACTATAAAGATAAAAATAAGAGTCAGCTTTCCTGAAAAAAGAATCTCACTGAACACCTTGAGTCATTTGTTTACAAAGGGCAAACAACTGATTGGCTTACCACAATGTCTGTGTTCAACACTCAGTAAATTAGTACAGTACAGTTATGTATACTATTCTAGTGTATTTATCATCACTTAATAAGTAGTATTGTAGTATGCAATACAGTATTGTGTATCTGCTTATACCCTGGTTTATTCATTTGTCTAAGTGCACAAGTAGACAAACTGAGCCATCATTTAACACTCAAAGGTAATAAATAACGTTGTTAGGAAGGTATCTTCATATCAAATTTCAGACAGTGTGTTATAGTGACCCCTGTTGTAAGCTGGTCTACTAAAAGCTCTCACACGAACGCCCCTTGAGTAAATAATAACCTTCTGACACCGCTTATCCTTTTATTTTCAAGTCATATTATAAATTCCAAACAGTATTGTATTTTTTCTCAATTACTGAATATGTTATATCAATCTTTATGAACCATAAATCATAAGAGAATATAATACTGAATCAATAAATAAATACACCTGACGTATGTGGCAACACCTGACCAGCCACAGCCTGCTTACATACTCAAGTGTCTTCGTTCTCAGTAGGCCTACAGCAAATCTGATAAGTCCACTGCACAGTATTCAGTAAGTGTGGCTCTTTCCATAAGATTTTTTGTAATTAATCTTCCCTATTTCTTAATTTTTTTTGGGTGGGTAATTCTGGTGACCAGAGCATCTCAGAGTCCTAGAAAAACAAATTCCGATATATTAAAATCTGATTTATGGAGGGCTTATATCACATGGCTGAAATACAGCAATGAATAAGGCTGCATTGTACTATTTGGTTATTTGATTACATTTGCAATATATATATATATATATATATATATATATATATATATATATATATTTACGGGTGCCTTGCCAGAATGAAAATGCTTTAATTACGCTGTAAATTTGGTCATTTACGCGAGTAGTGCGGAGAGGTCCAGACCGGGCCATTTTTACTCACACCGTCCATTCTTGACCATACGCTGGAAGCGTGCGGTGAGTGTGCGATTAGGTCGTTTACATTATCGCTGACGTCATATGGCGTATCGGACTGTGATTGGGCCACGATCCTTACCTCCCTCCCCCGCTAGCTGTGATTGGTCTAAGTAACATGACGCGGCCCTGCCATCAGAGGAAGTCGCTGACCTAGCAGGGCCTGTCTCAATGTTCTCAGTCCGCGTATACAGTTCTCTCTGCCCGCTATTCCCTCACAATGGCTTCCACGGACCCCACCACCAGAAAAACCTTGAATTACCTGGACCAAACCATGATATGTGAAGGAAATCATCGAGTTGGGGAGAAACTTAAGCTCATCCTTGACAACGACCCAGACAAGCATCGGTATGAAGTGTCTAATAACCATCTGACGAAGTTGTTGAGCCAGATATCCAGATCTATCTCGACAACATCAATGCGTCGTCAACGTAGTATTGAGGACTTCCTCCTCCGCAACCCACCACAACCACAGCCAGCCCAAGTCAGTGATAGTGATATTGACAGTGAGGATATGGACTTTGAGGGGTTTGTCTGGGAGGCCCTGCAAACCTCTGCGAAGTGAAAGTGATTCACCGGAGGGCATCTAATCTGCCCTCTGCCTCGAACCAGCGCCATCCAATTGTGCTGACCCAGCTTTTCTACTAACGTAAGTGTTAAAAAACCCAATATTATTGATATTTCTCTTAATTATTAATTGTGTGTGCATACCATCATAAAATTAAGATGTTATTTTTACTACAACGTCCGTACTGTGTCGAAAAAAGTGGAGTTTGGGGGTCGGCCCAGTCTCTATTTCAATTAATCCCATATGTTCTGTTATTTCATTTATGCATTTCTCATTTTACGCGGGCCTCCACTGGTTCAATTGACCGCATAAATGCAGACTATGATATATATATATATATATATATATATATATATATATATATATATATATATATATATATATATATATATATATATATATATATATATATATATATATATATATATATATATATATATATATATATATATATATATATATATATATATATATATATATGATTTCAATTGCTAAATTTAGACTCAGGAAATAAATGTGTGTGTGTGTTTGACTCACTCCCATCTATAATACTGTACTGTAGTCTGAATCTCAACCAGCACTGCATTCTAATGAATTACTGTGCAAGTGCTCATCTGCAAAAGCTCCTTAATTTTGTGTGATATATGTCATCATCATACAACTGATTTATTTATTTATTTCTAAGGAATAAGTTTGTGCTTTTAGTGAGTTACTTGTTGGAGTGAAACATACACAACACTACTTTCACTTTGTTAATATTAAAATTTTCAGAATGGAGAGAGTTCAGAATTCAAAATTTTACAAAGTACAGTACAGTAACGTAAAAATATAAAAATACAGTACCCTGTACTGTACACTAAAGTAAATTTCAGTATAGACTAATGAAGCAAAGTACTGTACAATATTTACAAAATTACACCAAATTCAGAATCCTCCTAAATTTAGTAAAACGTAAGCCTTCATTGCTCTCAATTATGCCTATTTTACATTAAACCAGCAGGAAGTAGAGGTATAGTCCTCTTCACTAGTGCATTTACAGAAGCTCATCAGGACTTGTGCAGTGTGGCAGCGCTGTTTGTTTACATTCAACCGAAGGAACCGTAATAGTAAACATACTATGGAATCAAAGGTAAACAATATTAAAACAAATATCTCAATGTAATGAGTTGTGGAATGTTTACATGATGAGCCCTGTGAACACTACTGTAGTCATAATAGTTTGTGCAAATACAAAAACACAAACAAAATTAATTACTGTAAGTAAAATAGGTACTGTAAGATAAATGTGATTAACTGCAATGTCTCATTTGTAAAGTATCATTAAGTTGTCTCCATATCTAAAATTTTAATTACTGTATATGTACAGTATACATGATGAAATGTACATTTAACACTGGTGTAAATTAAACAATTATTATTAATCTGACATAAGTGTAAAAATCACTAACCCAAAGATGTGTCTTGATAAGATTCAATATCACACTAAAAAGCGTGTTTTGTGAACCTTTATTGTCAATCATATAAAAGCTGAGTTCTTAAGCCCTAGAGAACCCAATATTTACAACATCAATGTACAAATAGTTCCATTTTGGGGGTTTAAACTTTAATCTTACACATTTTGTATTGTCAGTATACTGGGAAAGTTGAGTCTATTGTGTGTGCCCATGCTGTCAGTCCCCCAATTATGTCTTTAATCTGATAATCATTGTGATTGAGTGCTGACTGGAGCTGCTGAACTGCGAGCTGAGAGTCATTTCCTCTGCGACAAACACAGTACACTTTCTTTGTTCCTAAGCTTGACAGTGTCTCTTTGATGGCGGCAGTACTCTCTGCCTTGCAAATATTTGTTAAGGGAATGTTCATGCAATTAGGAAGGGAACATATCTCTAATTCCACTGGAAGTCGCACATCAATAAGTACGTAGGGAGACTTGGCATCTACAATGGCTTTATATTCTTCAACAGTCACTCTCTTGTCTTTTTCTAGTAGTGTTGTATTTCTGCTCTTGTCAGTTGCCGGTGCCCCACAAAACTGCTCATAATCGATCAGTTTGACTATGCTAGGAGTTTCTCCACAAACCTCACATGAATCTTTATTTCCTCTCAGTCTGACAGTGCGGAAACTTCCTTGTAAACCATCAAAAAGGAGCAGTTTCTGAGACAAGGGAGATCCTAACCCACTGATTATTTTGATGGCTTCCAGAGCTTGCATACAACCTATCAACCCTGGCACAACCCCCAAAACTCCTCCATCAGAGCAATTAGCTACAGTTTCTGGTGGAGGGGGCTTTGGGTGGATGCAGCGGTAGCAAGGGCCCCCTTGATAGTGATACACAGTCAGCTGACCTTCATACCGCAGAGCTGACCCAGAAACTAAGGTTTTATTTGCCATAACACAAGCATCATTCAGTAAGTAGCGGGTGGCAACATTATCCGTACAATCCAAAACAAGATCATAGTTACTTATCACTTGTAGAGCAACATCACTTGTAAGAGCTACTTCATAGGGAATAACCTCTACATGACTGTTTAATGCCTTCACTGTACTGGCTACAGACACAGCTTTGGAAATCCCTACTCTCTTCTCCGTATGTAAAATCTGTCTGTGAAGGTTATTGAGTTCGACCACATCATAGTCGATCAATCCAAGGCGTCCAACCCCAGCAGCTGCCAAGTAAATTGCAGAAGGGCAACCTAAGCCACCACAACCAACAATTAAAACTGAAGCTGCAATCAATTTCCTTTGTCCTCGTGGCCCAAACTCGGGTAAAATCAGCTGTCGAGAATATCTGGCAATTTCTGCTTGATTGAGAGGGGTTTCAGTCTTTGGTGAAACTTCATGATGAGTAAGATCCCTTACAAGAGTGGTTTGCAATATATCCAGGTTCTCATCTTGGCATTTTTTCAGCTGCAGTTTTAGAAGTTGATTTTCATTTTCTTATTTTTCCAGCTCTTTGAGCAAGTCTTCCCTTGACCAATTATCCATACCTGAAATTAGAATACAAGAATTAAGTGCTGACAAGTGATCCATGAGCTTCTTAAATGAAAAAAAATCACCTTTATTCTTGTAGATTTACTATTAATGTATTGATAAGTAACCAAGCCTAAACAAAGAACCTTAATAGAGATAAGCATCTGATGGTTTTGTCATCCTTAGTCAAATTGCCTTACTGTACAGTAAACCTGTATTGTCAAGGTACAGTTGTCTCCAGGTGTTATGTTACCTCCTACTGTGCCTCCCTTGCTGATGTGGCCACATAGTTATATACGAAGTAGATGATTTGAGATATATCCAGCTGTACACACTGTACAGTGATCCCTTGGTTAACGAGCTACGGTTAACGAAATTTCAGTTAACGAATTGCCTTCCATAAGATTCTTAACTTTTGTTTACGAGCATTCCTCGATTAACAAATTCCTTACGAGCACCCCTCAACATGTTTTCGCTTGCACACTAGCTGTCATATGAGTCCGCCAATACAGTAATTGGTTCTAGGGCTTAAATTCCTTACTATTTTTGTAAATATCAAGAAGTTTGTACGATTCAATATTTTAAGTCTTATATTAAAATTTTTAGTCATTTTAAAAATTATTTAACAAAATTAAAGTACAGGGAAACTAGTCTTTAGCGTAAGCCAAACAGCCTGTCAACACACCACAGGCCAGTCAGTGTGTGTCTTTTCAGTGGAGGTAACATCTTGCTTCAGACTCTCTTCAACATAAATGCTTTTTTCTGTTTCCAGTCAAATTATTGGTCATTTTGAAATTTATTTTACATATTGACAATATATAATGCAGTGCAGTGTTGATTTAAAAAAAAATAATCTTGAATTACACCAAGTGAACTAAAATTTTATGGGTGAAATGGCACCATGGGGTGACTTCTCTTCCACCCCAATGCCTTCTCTTCTTCCTTCTCCTCCACCCCCATTCTAATCATCATCATCATCCAGGAGCCTTCTACATACACACCTCAAAGTAAGAGTACTTTACTACCTTTTTTGTTGACTTTAGGCAATTTTCGGTGAGCTGGAACCAATTACCCAAAAACCCATTGAAACAATGGTTTCGGTTAACAAATTTTTCGGTTAACGAGCAACCTTCTAAAACGAATTGTGCTCGTTAACCGAAGGACCATCGTAGTTCATCACCTATTGTGCTATATTTGGTGTCATTTGTTTCTGTTTACTTTGTGTTTGGTACAAAACAAAGAAGTAGTGAAAAGGCTTCATTCAAAGGTGAATTTAATCTTTGACTTTGACCTTTTATGATAAATATTTAAAATTTCTAAAATCCTCTCTGAAATCATTTACATTTTGATAGTCCAGATATTTTACATTATTTTAGAAAATAACAGGTCTGCTTACCAACTGTAAACACATTTAGTTTGAATAAATGGACAACTACACGAATATTTTCCATGAATCAATCAGTTATTTGTAGCTATAGACGAGGGGCGTGGCTTACGGGCCAGGTTAGCGTGAAAATACTATAGTGTTGTAACCCCTGCCCTCACCCACCCCAGATTCACATATGATGCTCTTTCCACTTGTAACCTGATTAGTATTGTGACACTACATAATCATAATAGACCATTAATTTTTGCCTTGTATACAATAAACCCTTGCGATTCGCAATTTTGATGATTTGCGGTAAGCAGATAGTGGCTAGCTTGTGAGTCTCCCACAGTACAATGAGTCACCCCATGTGCCCACAGCATCTCCTCTCCCTCTCTTCGCTCTCAACCATTGCAGGCGATGCAGCATCTTTTGTGTTGTACTCTTAAAACTTTAATGTTTCTGTGTGAAAATGACCCCTAAAAGACTGCCTTGTGTCGGTGCTAGTGATGCTAGTGGAGTGAAATGTAAAAGGCAGAAGTCAGTGACAAAGAAAGTTGGATTATTAGACAAGTTAAAGAGGGATGAGTGCTGCCGCGGCTGGTCAGTTGTTTGGTATAGGTATACAGTAGTGCACTAATGTAGTAGAAGTTGCTATTTGCAGTTTTGCCTATTCATGCCAGTCCTTGGAACCCAACCCTCATGAATAACAAGGGTTTACTGTATCATAAAACCTCGCTTAGGCAGACTAATTGGGGAAGGTGCCCAGGATAAGAGATTGCCCACCTTAGAGCAAATTTTTCCCCAAAGATCTCAATTTTAAACAAAAACAAGCACAACACCAATGTATCCAATTTTTATGAGAGAAATACGTGTTCTTGAATCAAAATTAATTTTAAAAAATAATGCACATAAAGTATTGAACACTTACGTTTAGTTCACTGACAAGGTGAAACTGAGTAATAAAATTAAAAAGACAATATTATAGTATTCTCTTTCTTTTTAGCCCATACTTCAATCATAAATTACTTGTCAGTGGGCAGGGCATGAAAGAAGAGGGAAATAGCAGGTTAAAAACATGTCTCTATGTACTTTGGAGACAAAAAAATAAATTATTTACCATAATTATGGTACAGTCTGATCCCCTGTGGCGACCATGTTTTGGTTCACATTGTCTACTATATGGAGGTTCTGCGGTCTTTGTTTACTTGTCAAGAAACAAATGACTATCTCAACGAGCATGTGTATTATGATGTTGTTTGGATGATAGTAAGAAAATTGAAAAGACAATGCACAGGTTAGGAAGGTAGGTGAGGTTAGGTAGGGTTAGGTGAGGCTAGGTAGGGTTGTGAGGTTAGGTAGGGTTAGGTGAGGTTAGGGTTAGGTGAGGTTAGGGTTAGGTGAGGCTAGGTAGGGTTAAGTGAGGTTAGGTAGGGTTAGGTGAGGTTAGGTAGGGTGTTCTTACGTAGTATCATCCAAACAACATCTGAAAATTTGGTGCAATTCCATGAAGTCCTTCTGGTGCTATCCATCTGCTTGCCCATTACCAGTTTGGTTAGATTTAGTTGGTTCATGGTATCTCAGACTAGTGATATAATGTAGCAGTCACTAAAAGCATTTGTATGGAAGTTCACTCGCTGGAAGAGTTCAGTCATTGGCAAGTAATTGCATGAATACAAACAACAATAATGGGAGAAAAATCAAAGAAAAACAAAAGTATGATATTGTACTACATAAACTGTACTGTACATATAGCGAAAATCTTTAATAAAATATAAAAAATAGTAAAAAAAACAAGTGGTTTACACGTGACACTAAAGTTAAATATTACGGTCTAATATGGGTTAGTCCTTGTGTGGTCAGGTTCTGCTATAACCTCACTACCTGTTTTTAAATTACTTTATTTCACTTTATCCTCTTCGCCACTGATATATTCAAGCACTGAGGACATGGAGACATAGGCATCTTTGGCTACACTTTGAGTCTATTCCCACATTTATATAGACATTTAATAAGTACATTGGCATGGAGTAAGTCTGAACCATGTTGAGGGTGGTGGAGTTATTAACTTAGATATTCCTCTGTTAATTATCACCAGGTAAATAAAGTAATGAATCAATATAGTAAATAACACCCACACCAAACAACCTTTACAAACATAACAGTAATATGTACAGGTTGTCTACTTGTCTACACTAATAATAATAAATGTTCACCTGTGATATACTGTTCCCTGAGTCCATCACATGACGTAAGATAATCAAACTGCCTCCCACAACAACAATAATAATAATAGTAAGACTGGAACATATGTGTGTGTGTGTGTACAGTCCTGCCATCTACCACTGTGAGGCATAACTGTACATCAAAAAGTTAGATAATAAAGATAATACTGCATTGCAATAAGACAGTATAATGTTAATAACAGTTTCCGGTGTAGTGAAAAGACTGAATACCTGTATTGCTTTTTTTTACTCTTTACAAATACAGTATGTTTGCTATTATTATATACAATGCCCAATTAACTGCAAAGCACAGAATGAAAATATGGACTCACGAAGATTATATGTAAAAGCCAAAGACAGTGTAGCAAGTGACTTAAATTAGACTAATATATATACAAACGAGATTCGGTTGGAATTACAGTAATAGTGCAAAGTGCTGTTACGCCCTACTGGCTGAGGCGTTATCAGACCTGTGGTTTTTTAGGTTAAGGTGGGGAAAGGATGGAAGGCATGCTGGGGCTCAAGGCACAGCCAGACATGAGGATGGAGAAGTCACAACATATAGTCGTGGGGAAAGGTTGAAAAAGAAGTTTAATGAGTTAAACAGAGGGGACGACATCCTTGTTTTACATATTACAGTTTGTTGGCTAACTAAGCTAACCTAGGATTTAGAATGAGGTTGCACAATGGTTATTTTAGTAGACAATGACTAGATTGATTTTACAATTACAAGTTTATTAACATCTTATACTGTATTACGTTATGGACTCACTTGATTGTGACATGTTAAATGTGAATTTATATCATCTAAGTGTTTAAGCATCTCAAGGGGCACTACTCAGTCGAGTGTCCATACCTGGAGCTGGCGGACGCTCGCCCCCACAAGGTCACAGCTGCTGTTGAAGAAGCCGCAGGTCCAGAAATCTGTGAGGGCAAACTATTTCGGAGTGAGAATTGTGAACTCTTGGAACAATCTGCCAAAGAGCGTTGTGGCGGCACCGAATGTGAGCTCTTTCAAGGCCAGACTTGACCAATACTGGAGCAGTACTTGCCAACAGGGCGTAACAGAGACGTGATCCACCGCCCAAGTGGCTAACGAGCCGATCAGTGGTGAAGAGAAAAAAGTAAAAGTTAAGTAACAATAATATAAACCTGCTCTTGAAGCGAAAGCATAACAGACCCATGACCGTTTTAAGCTGAATCCCTAACTATTAAGCTGGAACCTGGACTTTCCAAATTTTAGAGCAACGAATGCCATGAAATAATTAATAATAATAGTGTAATAATAATAATAAGGGGGGTTGAGGTTAGCATTAGCAGGCGAGGACACCAGTACTAGATCCACCTCAGGCCCTGATAAGAGTGAGCGCTGGTCTCACTACTCAGTGGGAGTCTTGTCGCGCCGGTCATGATGCTGGGGGGTCTGTACTGCAATCCTATAACAATCAGACATACTGTGTTAAGCCACGGCACCTATTTATACTCCTACTACCCACTTCCATCTATGCATCTGTTGTCCTTCCACCGAACCTTCTTCACCCCTGTCACTTGGGATTTATGTATGTACAGTACGTATGTATGTATGTATGTACTCGCTACTCAATACGTCACTTGTTGAGCATCTAACTCCCCCAGTAATGTGAACTAAGTCATATTTGGGCGTACAGTACTTCTTCGCTAGAAAGAGAGAGAGAATCGTGCGGAGCCAACCACTTCCCAGCGTACAATTTAAAATTGTTCCTTACCTTACCATATCTAACCTAACCTAACCAGGCTTTGTGCCGTGTGGCAGTCCTGTGTTTCTTTACATTCGACAGAAGGAAACTCGCAATAGTGAACATAATCTGGAATACACGTAAAACTATATTAAAAAATAT